TCATCATAGTCATCATCATCATCTCATCTCATCATAATCGTCTTCATAATCATCATCAGTGTAATCATCTTCATCCTCATCCATTTCATCTTCAGTAAACTCATCCTCATCAACTTTTTCATGATTACCTTCATATTCGTACTCATCATCATCATCGTCTCCATTAGCTCTCTTTTTACCAAACATCATAAAACTCTTCAATGGTGAAGTAAATGATGATCCACTTACAGGTCTCTCTTTTTTACCATTTGGAGTTTGGGTTACCAAATCTGGGTTTCCAGTATGATCCTCTTTGTCTGAAGCGTTATGAGTCAATTTATCACCTTTCTTCATGCCTGTAGGACTTTCTGTAACAGCTTGTTTAATACATTCAGCAGCATCATCACTATCGGTTAAATTCTCAAAATCAATTGGTTCACGCCAGTAATTGACATCATTGAACTTCTCATCAGTTCTATACTCATCCATAAAACTTCTAGGCGATCCTGGTGATCTTGGTGAGCCCGGCGGAGAAGGTGTGTTGTGATTTTGCATATATTCATTCCATTGAGCATTGTTCCAGTATGATGAAATTGAGCTAACAGCTCTGATAGGTGGGAAGAATTGATCCACCAATTCTCCAATATGCAAGTATGATGATTTATAACCAGCCAATTCCAACAATTCCATATGCACTTCCCCATTAGGGTTTATTGTGAAAATACGATGAGGTGGAATGTTGACAGATCTATAACTAATCGCATCAGTGATTCTATTACCAAATCCAGCATAGAAAGGAGTGTGTTCATTGTCGTCATCATCATCATCATCTTCTTCTTCGCCAATAACGGGTGCGAAATACAAGCTTTTAATATCCGAAAGACAAGCCATTTTAAACACTTCCGGTTTCTTCAACACCACTTCACGACGTAATGCGGCAAACGTTCTATCTGGACTCAAAATGACAGGACCTCTTGGTAACTTGTACCCATCTTGGTTTATACCATGTAAGTATTGTCTAGTAGTATCAGCTTGACCAGCAGCTCTAGCAGTTAAATAAATAATATTGTATCCATTTTGACTAATGTCTTGAAACAAATTAGCAACACCTGGATGGGTCCAATCACGACCAATCAAATTCAAAACATGACCCAACGCATCTGATTTGGTGATAGTACCATCAATATCTGATATAACTATCGGTGTTGTTGATTTCCAAAGAAACAAATTAGCAGTGACTTGAGAATTAGTTCCATGTGCTTGAAATTTAAGAGTGTTCTCACCATAATGTAAATTCATTTGACATAATTGTTCAGAAGTCAACCTAAGGGTTTTGAAATAAGTTTTCTCTGATTTTTCCCCTCCAGTTTTTGCCGAGGAAGAACTTGTATTTATTGACGCAGAAGTACTGGATTCCGTTACTGGTGCACTGGTTTCCAATGATTCATCGTCATCCGGTTCACCGGCTTGTAATTCATCACTAACATTTGAAATTCTATAGTTACCATTATCATCTTTACTGATAATATGCTCCCATGCTTTGATCTTTTCCCCATGTGAATATTCACCTTCGAATTCTTCCAAAAATATCTTCTTGAACAATTCATCAGAATTTTCAATATTCTTTTTTGAGTTTGCCTTATACCCATCCAAATCAATAAGCATATCTCCATTCAAATCTATCTTTGTAGGAATGTTTAATTTCTGTGTGATCTTTTTGGCACTTTCAATTGCAACTTTCGACGACACAGAAGGAGTCGGACTCTTTGCTCTTGCCACTGGACTTGGAACGTCACTCAATTTAATTTTGTCTTCAATTGAATCCTTATTTAAATCTAAATCATCCGGTGGTTCAGTGGCACCAGTTGTAGGAGACGAATCAGGGGAAGACAAGGGCGAGATAATTGGGGATGTTAACACATGTTGAGATAAGCCAGGATGATCACCTTCGAGTTCAAAAACAAAGTGAGCTTCTCCTCCTTCACTTAATTTCATTGGCAAATTGGTCTTAGTGCCATTCACATATAAATCAATTTTCTTTTGGGATGGTTTGGCAATTTGTAAAACACCAAACCGAACGTGCCATGGTGAAGTGTGTAATGTTCCATCAGGGTGTTCAACAACTATAACATCAATTGCTCCTGATAAGGTAGCTGGATTCAATGAATTCCATTGACTATAAACGTAATCTCCGACTTTCCCAACGTATTGCATCTTGTAAATTGTAGTTGGTTATCAATGGCAAGTATGTTGATTTGTCTAAAAAAAAAATGAAGAAGCTGGAAAAATAGAGGGAACGGCAAGCAAAACGACAAAAGAAAAAAAGAAGAACAGAAAGTGGTTTTACTGAGGGAGGATTACCGGAAGTAGTGGTAGCAAAAAAAAAAAAAAAAAGAATATGAATTTAGTGGAGAGACAGAAAGTGACAGAAACTGAGAGGATTTCATAATAGTAAAGTCATTTTTTTTTTTTTGGTTTCCTACGGGACGCCGTCGTACGCGGCACTGATACGAGACATTTATTATTTTTTTTGCGCCATGAGTTTAAACTCAATTGTATGTACAGATTTAATGCTGCCAACAAATGGTTGCATTATTGAATTACCTTCCAGTTACCAACAGCTCAACAATATTTGATATATTTCGTTTTACAACAAATATCAGTTTTCAATAATAACCAGAGAGATATTCCTTTTATTTTTCACTACATACAACTACACATAAAAACAATTAAAGCAATCAAAGCACAAAAGAGAAAGAACTAAATAATTGTGACAGGATCAGCACCACTAGCAATGTTACATTGGTGCATCATTCTTTTTCCAGCATCACCTAAATGAGCTAGTTCAGAAACAACTGAATGGGTGACTTGTCTATTACCGAAAATAACCAAATCACCTTGTTTCCAAGCATGTGCATAGACTTGTTCTGGAGAAATTGCTGGTCTTAGGAATTGATGTGCCTTTTTTCTAGCATCCTCTAATTCTAAAGTTTCAATAGTACCATCTGGTTTCTTCGTGTGTAATTTATACAAACAACATCCATGTACCTGCAAATGATGTTCTTTAGTAACTGGGTTAGTCCAAACCATTGGTAATTTCTTTATCTTTGACTCTTCCCATTCTGGTAATTTGTCAAATGGAAGTTCTTTGCCCTCACTAACCATAGTAATACCATCAGAAGTAGCTCTAGCAGGAGATATGAAGATATATGGATGTGGAGCGTATTCAACAGTTGTGTTCAAAGCAAATTGTTGGTCATCTTCACTCAAGTTTTTAAATGCTTGAGCACCACTAAAGAAACAAGTAGCACCTCTAGCCAATTTCAATTCACTTCCATCATCTTCATAAACAATTGTTTGGTATTCTGTTGGAGGGATTCTGATGCCCAACAAGGTGGTAACTTTTGGTGGAGATAATCCATACAAAGCACTATCAATGTGCCATCTGTAAAATCTAGTTTGATTCTTATTTTTGATCTGATCCTCGGTTAATGGAGTATGGTGGAAAGTAGTGTGACTTGGGTGTGTTAAAGAAATAGTTTCTCCATTTTCATTACCTGGTTCATCAGCTTCAAAGACACCTTGGCCCAAGATTTGAACTTGTGGTTGAGACTTGACAGAACAACCATCTTTTTTCAATACAGACTGATCATGTCTAAATTCTTTACCATGACCATAACCACCGCTTTCATCTTTAGGTTCTGGGATAGTTGGATCAAATCTTTTGGTTAACAAATATTGAGACTTCGGAGACAATTCAACTTGATTTGGAATAAGTACAACAAAATGTCTTTGGACAGCATCATCCAACTTGGCAAAATCATCATCATTTAAAGTAGATGGATCATTGTTACAATAGGAAGGTAATTCAATAGAACAACCAAATGGTGCATCTGCTAATGGAGTTACAGTTAATGAATCTTTATGCATTTTATTTTGAATATAATTATTTGGATATAGTATATTAGTTGATTATTTCTTAGAATAATTAATTGAAAGAGGTGAGTTTTAGTTTTTGGGAAAATTTCATGGGTATTTATATGTGTGGAAAATATGATAATCATTAGATAACAAAATCACTGGTTATCAAAAAAACTTTCATTGCTCCGTAGGAATCCCGTCGGAGAACGGAATTTTTAAAACCTGGGGTTCACCGATTGCTATATATGCAACACAAAAAAGAAACAAATAAAGTCATTTCAAAATTTCGGAGTGCCGATTTGTATTTTACCGTTTTCTGGATTTCACCGAACCATATTAGGTTTGGATTACAAATAATTCTCCTTATGTCATACGATCATGTATATCTAGATAGTTTTAACAACTTGCTTGATAAATGCGTTCGCAAAATCCAACGGAGACTCCAACATCCAAAAAAAAAATCTCGCGGGAAGAACAAGAAAGAAGAAAAAAAAAAGTTGAAAATTATGGTGAACTGGAAGTTATCTATATTTCAACAAATAACAACAAACAATGGGTAACTACATAACAGTTGCCACTTGTAACTTAAACCAATGGGCATTGGATTTCGAAGGGAATAGAGATAGAATCTTAGAATCTATCAAAGAAGCAAAAAGACAAGGTGCAACTTTAAGAGTTGGTCCAGAATTAGAAGTCTGTGGGTATGGTTGTTTAGATCATTTTGCTGAAAATGATATCTATCATCACAGTTGGGAAATTTATGGTGAAATAATTGCTAATCCAGAGACTCACGGAATTGTATTGGATATTGGTATGCCTATCATTCACAAATCTATCAAATATAATTGTAGAATCATCTCATACAACGGAGAAATCTTATTGATCAGACCTAAATTGTACTTGGCTAATGATGGAAACTACAGAGAAATGAGATATTTCACTGCTTGGAATAGACCAAAGTATTATGAAGATTATCAATTGCCTAAATTTATCAGTAAAATCACAGGACAATCAAGAGTCATTTTTGGTGATTGTATTATTCAAACTTTGGAAACTAGATTGGGTTGTGAAACATGTGAAGAATTGTTCACTCCAAATTCTCCTCATATTGCCATGGCTTTGGATGGTGTTGAAATATTCACCAATTCTAGTGGGTCTCATCATGAATTGAGAAAATTAGACACAAGATTGAAATTGATCACTGAAGCAACTAAAAAATGTGGGGGTATTTACTTGTATGCTAACCAAAAGGGATGTGATGGTGATAGATTATATTATGATGGATGTGCTAGTATTATTGTTAATGGTAATGTCTTGGCCCAAGCTTCCCAATTCTCATTAAAAGATGTCGAGGTTATTAGTGCTACTGTTGATTTGGACGATGTTAGAGCTTACAGAAACCAAAAATCTGCCAGTGCTCAAGCTGTTAATCAAGTGGAAAAATTCAAGGTTTTATACACTGATATTGAATTATCTCCAAGTGACTACCTTTTTGATCCTACGGTAATGCCAACCAAGCCACAACCAATTAAATACCATTTACCAGAAGAAGAAATCGCACTTGGCCCAGCTTGTTGGTTATGGGATTATTTGAGAAGATCTAAATGTGGTGGTTACTTCTTACCATTAAGTGGAGGTATTGATTCATGTGCTACTGCCGTTATTGTTCATCTGATGTGCAGATTAGTCGTTGAGGCTATTCCACATGATAAACAAGTCTTGAAGGATATTCAAGCCATTACTCATGATGATACTTTTGTGCCAAAGACACCACAAGAAATTGCCGAACGTATTTTTTACTCATCATTTATGGGTACTGAAAACTCATCGGCCGAAACAAGATCCAGAAGTAAGGAATTAGCGGCAAAGATTGGGTCATACCATGTTGATTTAAATATGGACAATTTGGTGGGAGCTGTTGTTTCATTATTTGAAGTTGCCACAGGTAAAAAACCTATTTTCAAGATATTTGGTGGTTCACAAACTGAAAACTTGGCATTGCAAAATATCCAAGCTAGATTGAGAATGGTTTTAAGTTATCTTTTTGCTCAATTGTTGCCTTGGACAAGAGGTAAAAATGTTCCTGGGCTACTTGTTTTAGGAAGTGCTAATGTTGACGAATGTTTGCGTGGTTATTTAACCAAATACGACTGTTCATCTGCTGATATTAATCCTATCGGTGGTATTTCTAAAACTGATTTAAAAAGATTCATTGCATGGGCTGAAGATAAGTTTGAGTTACCAATTTTGCATGATTTCTTAACAGCTACACCAACAGCCGAATTGGAACCAATCACAAAAGATTATGTTCAAAGTGACGAAATTGATATGGGAATGACATATGATGAGTTATCAAGATTTGGTACTTTACGTAAGGTCGACAAGTGTGGGCCTTTGGCTATGTTTATTAAATTATATCATGAATGGTCTCAGCCTCCATATAATTTAACTGCTGAGCAAGTTGCTGAAAAGGTGAAACGATTCTGGTTTTTCTATGCTATCAACAGACACAAGATGACGACAATGACTCCTGCCTACCACGCTGAACAATACTCACCAGATGATAACAGATTTGATTTAAGACCATTTTTGATCAATCCAAGATTCCCTCATGCTAGCAAGAAAATCGATGCCTTGGTAAAAGAGATCAACGAAAGACAAAAAGAAATAGAAGCCAGTAATAAGAGTGTAGATTAGGTACTATATATTAGAAGTAATATAAACCATTACCTCCCTTATTAACATCTATTTGTGTATTTTTCCTCCCCATTTTGGAACAATTCCTAAATCTTCCTTCATAAACTTTTCAGGAGCAATAGCTCTTTTGATATAATCAGTTAAACATACAGCAACATGATTTGGTAAATCTTCATGTACAAAATGACCTGATTTTTCATTATTTTTAAATACAACCAACTGGTATTTACCTTGCATTTGTCCAATCATTAATTTCTTATCCAAAGTTTCATGAGTAGATAAAATCAATAATTTTGCACCTTTGAAATTCAAGAAATTCTCCGATAATCCCGTAAACCACGAACCCCAATATGGTTGTGTAATAGAAAGATCAGTTTTCCATGTTAAATCCTTATTAAATAAATCAGGAATTGACAACTCGGCTGATTGTTCATTAAATAACAAAAAATTCATATGCCACAGAATGGCTCGAAATACGGAATCAAATGATTTTGGACGTCTTTCAATAAATTGTGGCATAGCATTCAATGATTGAACAGCTGTTTCTTCAACAATATCTAATAGTATCAACCCTTTGATTTTATCATCAGGATGTTCATTTACATATTTGGCAAAAATGGATCCTCCCAAAGAATGTCCCAACAAGAACAAAGAACTTGGTTGATGTTTGGAAATAAATGTAGATAATACAAATTGGGTATCCTCAACCATTGTACTCATTGAGAAATCGTTCCCGGTATTTGTACTTTCTCCATGACCTCTTATATCAAATAAGAATATGCTTAGCGAATCATCTTTGATATGATTAACTAAATTAGCAAACGTCATAGAAGAAGAACCTGCTCCATGTAAACAAACAAGAACAGTTCCATCTAAATTCTTTGCCTGTTTATAATATGTTTTAAATCTATTTCCTTGTTCTGTTTCATAAAATTCTTCCGTGAACTGTGATTTTTTAAATTCGTGATATTTTTCAAGAATCTCTTGGTCTTTAGGATTAGATTTCTTTGGCGTGTTGTTGGTAGGATGTATTGCTGGTTCCGGAGAGGCTAAGCCTGATAATCCCAAAGCTGATTCTTGTTCTTTGATTCTTTTAAGAAACGTCTTGTGCAAGTTTGACATGGTGGATGCAAGTTTAAGATACACCAATGAAATTGAAAAAGATGATGTAAAGCTAGATAAAACAAATTGGTATGTATACAAATTCCTCGTTAGTAATGTGGATGCGCCGCCAAGTGATGGGTACGAAACCAGGAGTATTTTCACACAACTCATACCATAGTGCAACAAAAAAAAAGTAAAAGAAAATGTGAGAATGTATCTCCCACTGACAAACGTGTGAGTGGATTGTATTTATGTATTCATAGTTATCAGCTTCATTTTCATGCAATGTCTTATGATCTTAGTAGACATTTCAAGTATATGGCAATAAGTCTATTTGTCGGGTACAAGGCGTTGCTTAATAATGAGACACCTGTGTCTTGTATAGTAGTCAATTCCAAAACCGATGAGATTATAAGTATCGGTTACAATTATACCAACCACTCATTGAATGGTACCCAACATGCAGAATTTATAGCTCTACAGAGATTTGAAAGCGATGAGAGTATTAATTACAGTGATTTAATTTTGTATGTGACAGTAGAGCCGTGTATAATGTGTGCATCATATTTACGCCAATTGGGTATTGGAAAAGTGATTTTTGGTTGTGGGAATGATAGATTTGGTGGAAATGGAACAGTATTGCCAGTACACAAAGATCCAAGTTTACCTAACAAACCATACTTGAGTGTGGGTGGGATATGTCGAGCTGAAGGTATACAATTATTAAGAAACTTTTATATCCAACAAAATGAAGCAGCACCTAATCCCAAAGTTAAAAAGAATACTGCAATAGAAAGCAAAGAATATCCCGGCAACGAATTCACAAGTCTTGATAAGAATGAGTTTTTACAATTTTATGGTGAAGATAGAGAGATAATTTATGATGCAACTGATCTCGAGATCACTCCGCAGATACACAAAGGTTATGATATAAAAGAGTTTATTGATCTTAAACAATTGCAAAAGGTGCGATTTTTACAAGATGAGTTAGGAGAGGTTACTGAGGAACAAATCACTGAATTCAACAATTTATTTTTCAATGTGAATGATGATAATAGGATTAATTACGAAAAACCCATTGGTAAGTACAATAGTAAGAAAAGGCATTTAGAAGAAGATATATAGAAATAAACGATTTTATTCCCAATTTGACTAGTAAAAATTGGAGCAAAAGAAAAACAAGTTAAAAAAAATTCAAGTGAACAGAAAAACATACTGGAAACTGAGAATTGAGAATAAAAAATTTAAAAAATAATATTAAGCTGACTGAAAATTGTATGGTTTTTAGCGTGGAACACAATACGACATAACAAAACACCAGTGAAAAGAAAATTTTGAAAGAATGGACGATTCAGATGAAGAATACGTAAGAACAAATTCACCATCTTCGAAACTTTCATCAGAAGTTCCAGAAGCGAAAGCATCACCACGAGACAAGAATGGCGTTTCTACACGTACTAGATCATCACGAAGAGGAGAAGTTAGTGATTTAAAAGGGGCAAATGGTTATGCATGGGAAGATGAATATCAAAGATCATGGGATATTGTGAAAGATGATGAACTGGGAAGTAATTCGTTTGAAGCTATGGTTCAATCCATCATTGAGAATCGAAAGAAGAAAATTATGAAGAATCCTAGTACTCCATTCCAAAGAGGTATCATTAGAACTTTGGTAATTATAATAGATGGATCACTGGTCATGAGTGAAAAAGATTTACGACCTAATAGATTATCAATGACATTGTCATATTTACAAGATTTTGTTACCGAGTTTTTTGATCAGAATCCAATATCTAGATTAGGTATAATTTTGATGAGAAATGGTATTGCCAACTTGGTGAGTGAAGTTAGTGGGCTGCCACAGTATCATATAGATAAAATCAGACAATTAAAAGCAAGACAGCATAATAGATTCGAACCTAAAGGGGATCCATCACTACAGAATTCATTGGAGATGGCAAGATCGTTGCTAAAATTTAATTTTGGTTCTACTTCCAACAACACGAAGAACTCCAAAGAGGTGTTGATTATATTTGGTGCATTATTCACAAGTGATCCGGGCGATATACACAGAACGATAGACAATTTAATCAAGGATGAAATCAAAGTCAGTGTTATTGGTTTGTCAGCTCAGGTTGCTATTTGTCAAGAGCTTGTTAATAGAACTAATAAAGAGCCGCGAAACTCCCAGTCAAAGCATTATGGTGTTATTATGAATGAGTCACATTTCAAAGAATTGTTAATGGATTCAGTGACCCCTTTACCATTGACAGAATCAGAAAAGCGCTTACAGGATGCACAATCAGAAGATGGGGGTGTTCCAGTTCTACGTATGGGATTTCCATCGAAAGTTCAACCTACTTTAACTTCAGTTGTTACAGGAACGGATATGATCATTGAATTCCCACATTTAAATGCATCTTTCCCAACCCAAGGATCTGAAGATTCAAAAGATGCTGTTGAGATTCAAAACAATCGAGCCGTTGCTGCTGCTTCATCTTCAGTAATAGGTTATCAATGTCCACAGTGTAAGAGTAAAGTTTGTAATTTACCAACACTTTGTCCTGTGTGTGGATTAATGTTGATTTTGTCTACTCATTTGGCAAGATCATATCATCATTTGGTTCCACTTGCACAATTTAAGGAGGTGCCTGTTGCTCCAGTTTATGATAGTGAGTTTTGCTTTGGATGTCAATTGAAGTTTCCTGATGGGGTTAAAGCTGGCACACAGAAGGGTTCATTAGAATCAATGACAAGTTCTCGTTATCGTTGTAAAAGATGTGAAAAGTCATTCTGTATAAATTGTGACGTGTTTGTCCATGAAGTTTTGCACACCTGCCCAGGATGTGAAAACATGTAACAATAAAGACTCGTTGGGCTGTGCAATAGTTAATGTAATGAATAGTATATTTTAGTACTAGTAAATATTTATACAAAGAGAATATCTCATAAACGTTATAAAAAATAAAGATATGAATCAGAATACTATTATTATTAATAATAAAAATAACAATAAAAACCAAATTTTAAACAGTTTAGTCAAAGAAAAGGATCAACTAACAAGTACTTATCTAATATTTCAGTTATTACCTTCCCAGGTACTGTTGTTGCCCTTTTTACTACCCCAGGTAGAGTTACCGCCTCCACCCCAGGCACTGGCACCGCCATTTCCACCCCATGCAGATTCTGCACCACTATTACCACTACCACCATTGTTACTTCCCCATTTGGATGTATTACCTCTTTCCTGGTTTCCACCCCAAGCAGAAGTGTTTCCTTTATTTCCGCCCCAAGCAGACGCACCACCACGATTTCCACCCCAAGCACTGGCACCTCCACGGTTACCACCCCAGGTTGATGCACCACCACCGCGGTTTCCACCCCAAGAAGAAGCACCACCGGCACCGCCCCAAGTAGAAGCACCACCGGCACCAGCACCTCCCCATGTAGAAGCACCACCAGCGGCAGCACTGCCATAAGCAGGAGTTTTACCACCAGCACTACCATAAGCAGGGGTCTTGCCACCCCATGTTGAGGCACCACCTGCTCTATCACCACCCCATGAAGAAGCACCACCGTTAGAAACACCACCTGCAACAGCAGGAGTAGCACCTCCCCAAGTAGATCTACCACCACTTGAGAATGTTGGAGGCATAGCTGGGGCTCCAAAACGTTCATCTGGAGCTGCGCCAATGAATCTCATATATGGAACCGGTTCACCATGTACCATAACATTCAAATGCTGCTTACGCACCTTGATTTTCTTACTCTTGGTGTGCAATTCAATTCTGGCAAATTCATCATCAGCGTCAGTGACTTTACCTTTCAATCCTTTGTAACTACCACTAGTCACTTGAACATCTTTGTATATCAATTTATCTCTACCCCCGATTCTCGTTTTCAATCCTGCCATAGCACTTGGATTTGGCAATCTTAAGTTTGGATTCATACTTGTCAAATCTGGACCTAGACTCTTCGACACCATAGCATCCTTTGTGGAAACGGTGGTAACATTCATACGGTTGGCAACAAAAATACCCAAATTCTCTATAACTTCTGTAGATTTGATAAACAACGAGTTTTTGTAAATATGCACAATAGCACCTTCTCGAGACTTATCACCCAACAATTCCTTAACTGTGTCACCAACTCTAATGGTCATACCGTGCCTATCTGTGGCAACTTGTTCACGACGACTTTGAATTATCTTGGAAGCGATACCTGAAGGCTTAACATCAATTAATCGACCATCAGTGGTAAGTACACCAAAGATATTCTTTTCTGCTTTCACAATAACACCAACAGTTAAACTACTCAATTCTACCAAATCCTTTATGTCGTAATTACTCTTCATTTGATCGACATTAGATGATGCATCTGTCGCTTTGATCAAATAATTGGCAAATACTTTAACATCTTCTCTGGTTTGATCACTAACAAAAATAACGGAGTCCCCGTCGATTTTAATAACCAAACCAGTTTCATCAAGATGTCTACCTTCAACTACTCTAACATGATCACCCTCATTGAATATCTTTCTTAAATCACTGGCAGGGACAGTTAATCTTTGGTTGACAAATTTAGGATCACCACTATCAGTAACTTTTATTGTCACCTCAGTTAATGCAGCCTCAGTAACAAGACCGATTGTCTTTGCTTGTTCCCCACGACGAATTTCAACTTTATCACCAGGTTGGAATGCAGTGGAAGACTTACCGTCACCTTTGTTATTCTTCAATGTGGCAGCAATAGCAGCTAAATTCAAACCATCTTCATCTGTTTTGATTTGAAGTTTATCCAACTCTTCAAGACTTGGGTGTACGTCTTGTGTTTGAAGGAATTGGATTCTGAAATCCTTGTACAAGAACCCATCAATATAGTCATTGTTAGCATAACGGAAATGTCCACGACCACTTCCATTTTGGAGCTTTTCTGGATCATAGGTTCTGGCTTTGTGCTCACTGAACAAAGCCTGTTGTGGTCTAATCTTTGATTTCACACGTTTTCCGTTTTTATCTAGCGTATCATTCACACCATAATCAAGTCTTGGAACAACTTTACAACGTACATCTAACCCGTTTTCTGACAAGTTATCAACTATTGCTAAATCACCTTTGTAAGCACCTCTCTTAATTCTTACATAGATACCAGGAACAACTTCAACATCAGTGGTTTTAACTTGCTTCAATAAATCTGGGTACTCCTTCACTGGGACCAATAACTTATCTCTCATAAAGACATTGACCATACCCTCAAGGGCCCTGTCAATGGCGTCCGGTCTTTTAGCTTCAATGTAAATATAACCTGTAAATGCATCTCTTTGGAAGACTGTCAAAATGTCTAAGGGAGTACCTTGTCTTTCAAGGGTTCTTTTCTTCTTGTACAATTTACGAACCAATTCTTTTTCTTTACCCGGAGACACCCTAATTGCATAGATAGAAGGATCGTTAATAGAAGGCATCAACAACTTTTGGGATACTGTACCACTAGCAGAAGTTTCTCCTCTGTAGGCAGTATGACTCTTTCTATATCTTTGTTTCAATTCTTCTGCTATTTTTTCGGCATCTTCATCTTGAACCTTTTGACGACGATTATCAAATTGTCTATGTAATCTATCATCAGTATCAACTCTTTCAACAGTTTCAATTGGGGCATGATCGTCTGTGATAAACTCTTCTCTCAACATTTCTGCTTCTTCATCATCTTCGTCATCGTCCTCATCTTCATCATCGACCTCTGCTTCAATATCAAAGAACTGATTAGCTCCTCTTCTTCTTTTTCTTTTATGGGAAACTTCGTCTTCTTCGTCATCTTCATCATCATCTTCTTCTTCTTCTTCTTCCTCCTCCTCTTGGTCTTCTTCATCGACCTCTTCGTTTTCACGTGGACGCTTTGATTGTTGTGTTTCTTCTCCATCTTCTTGATCCGCTGCTCTTCTGAATTCTTCATCAAAAGTTAAGTCATCTTCTTGTGGAACACCTGGTTCCGATCCAATTTGATTTTGATCTTCACTATCAGACATTGTTCAATATGTAAAGGTTGTATTAATAATTAATCAACTTATGAGGAAAAAAGGACCAAAAAATAAGTGAATGACTTGTATTTGTTCAACCTCTTTTTTGCTACAGTTTTTTTTTTTTCTCCCTCTCGTTCTTCAAAATTTTTTTCAGTGAACAACAACAATCAACCTGCAAAATTAAACAGAAAAAAAAAAAGAAAACAGATATAGGGTCGTGTACTTTGTTCACCATCTACTCTTCATCAACATAAATATGTACTAAATAATTTAATAATTTACCAACAGCATTTATATGCCAGGGAACTAATTGACTGGTTTTGTCGCTGTAATTTGAACCTTCAACTGGGTTATCGATAGACTCCATGCACAATATATTATTCAAAGCAATCATTTTCTTATATTGTAACATCAACAATCTCATTAATACATCTAAATTCCAATAGTTTGAGCAACTAAGAATATTAATCTCAAAAAGTATATATGATTTCTTTCTGGTATCATCCTCATCAGACTCATCTGCTGTATCATTGATGTTCATCATCAAATAACCTGTTTTCATACAAAACCTTGTAGGCGAGTTGAATGATGGAAGGGGTAATCTTGGAACAACGCCATAGATATCGCTATCAGCACGGTCCAATATCATATCAGGATCAATTTCCATACCTCCACTAGATGTGCCACCAGGTGTGAAATCTTGTGGAGACAAGAAATTGGCTGGCGCGTTAAGGAACTGTTGTGGAGAATGGAAACTCAATCCATTTGGAGACATAACCAAAGCTCCACCTGAAGCTGGTGAAGAATTATTCGACATGGAAAAACCTGTTTTGAAATTGAAAAACGAATCCTTATCTTGTGTCATTGACATCGGTGATGTGCTGGTGCTAGATTTGTTTGCCACTTCTTTCAACTCACTTGAACTGACAATTTTTGGTGTTTGACACACAGACAAAACTATAAGCGAAATCTCTTTATGCTTCAGACTCAATCTCTTCCAATGGATTAACTCATCGTCAGGAATTATGCTATTCACTCTTGTCAAGACTAAGAATTTCTTACCACCAAATGTATTACCGCCAAAGGAATTAATTTCATCATTTAAAAATTTGAACAATTCAGTAGAACAATTCCACATATCATCTGTGATTGCCATAACGTCCATGGTATCATTTCTGTGGTGCGATCTCAGCTGATCATTAACGGACCCTGATGGAACTGAGCAATACCATGACTTTGTATAAACAGCTTGTCCCAATGGATCAGACCAGGATGCAACAAACCAATTTTTATCTATGGATCTTTCATAGGCAAGATGCAAAAAGATATCATCATTAAAACCATTATCTCTGTAGGAGTTGTTGATAAATTTGAACTGGATCTTAGATGGTGGTTCCTTCACAACAGTGGTGAATATGTTCTTGGCTATATTTTTATTGGCTAAATCATTTGGGCACTCATTGTATAGATTCATGGAAATTTTTGTCAACTTAAAGTTGTTAAACACCTTCAATGTAGACTCATGATTAACCTTCTTGACTATTAATGACGAAGGAACAATCTTGGTGAATATTTCAACCAACGGTAATTGATGACTCATTAAGGCAACTTTGAAATTTCTAAAGATTTTGCAAATTTGCAAGTCAGAGTTTAAACTTTCATTGAAATTCACAAAGAACAATAACAACGGTCTATCGAATTCAAAATTATTGGTCTTGTTGATTAAATCCAATTTGATTAATTCAACCAAAGAGATCAACTTTTTGTTTGTTTGAATGTAAAAGTCATTGTACAGCTGGTTAGGGTCTTTGCTTATCAACACTAAACCATCCGAAATTGGGTCTAAATCAGCTCTTGTCTCAACCGTAGATAGATTGACCTTCGAAATAGTACCAAAGTTACTTTCCTTATAATTTTGCACCAACTGTGCCAAGAACTCACTCGCATAAGATGATGAGCTTCCATTTGCCTCGGCAATTAACAATATTTGGAAATTCTTCTGCTTCTTTACTGGAGCAAAATTCAAATACTTCCAGAATTCTAATCCAACATTATTCAAATTCAAGATGTTTCCATTTTTCAAAACACGGGTTTTAACAACAGGTAACTTAAAATAGTCATCATCATTAATAGAATTTCCTAAATTTAATTTGCCGATTATTTCCTTATACTTTTCAAATTTCAATTTATTTTCATTATTCACATCAAAAGAATCCCATTCAATGCTTTTCAACTTCTTGTAAAGTGTTTTCGGATCTGCATAGCTTTCATCTTCATTATCAACTTCATTCAAGAAATTTAACTGGTTGTCTAACGGATCTTCCATCTCCAAGGATTTCACATCATGAAGTAACTCAATCAACTTTACGGGGTACGTGAATGGGAAAATCTTTGCTAACCCATTAAAAAATGATTCTGGTGGTAACCTTAATTCTCTAACACTATCTGATAAATCCTTAACATTGTTGACGTAGTACAGAAAATTATCAAAACTGGTGGATCCAAGATCATATACAATATTAGGAGTTATAAAACTAAGGAAATCTTTCAAATGCTCCAATTTGACAATCATTTCATTGCTTTTAGTTATATCCAAATCATTTTCCAGATCTTCGTCATTAATAGTGAATGATGGCAAGAGTTTGTTGCTTGTTAAATTGTTCATCAAGAACAATGATGGAATTGTTGCAACATTAATGTTTCTTAAAAGCAATGGAAGGTAATTCGAAGACTCGCTAATTTTTGATGGAGAATCTAATACTGCTGATTTGCTTGTAGTATCGGGGTTACCAACCGTAGGTTGTAGCTGCGGCGACTGTTGACTTTGCGGAGGATCAAAATACATTGGTGACATAGAACTTTGTATCTCATTGGTGGAAAATGGAGAATCTGGTTTCAATGCAAATTTGTTAATTTGACTTGCAAATGGTGAACCAAATCCTTCAGCGTTTAATGATGAGTTTGCAAAAGGTTGTTTTTCCGTGCCATTATTCTGAAATTCCTGTCCACCTGTAGCAATGTTATTAGTTGAAGCTACATTATTGTTCTGCTGATATACCATTGATTCATTATAAGTATTCAATTTCAATGGAGTCAAATCCCCAATATCAGGTTCTTCATCAACATCACTTTCCTCTTCATCTTCATCATCATCATCATCATCTTCATCTTCATCATCTCCTTCATCCTCATGTTCATTATCTTGGCCATTTTCCAGTCCACTACTTGTAGTTGACGATTCTATAACTTCCATCTGTTGTTGAAGTTTCTTTTTATCCTCTGTGTTAAACGATGGCTCCATACCGCTGACACTTGTTGCTCGCAATGTTCTCTTCTTGGTCTCAAAATCGATATCCTTGGAGGAATCCTTGTCGACATAAAACTTACCACCCTTACCATACTTTGTGTCAATATCACTTTTGATGATTGGATTAAACAAAATTGGTGAAAAAACCGATTTCTGTTGTGGCATTTGCAGTGCCGGAGCAGACTGTCCGTACACACCAGCAGAAGAATTACTAACATTATCATATGCTCCTTCAAAAGGGCCAACAGTTGGTGGGTTGGTAGCGCTTGCTGACTGAGTAATTGTTGACAGAACTAATGGAGTTGGCACAATTGGCAAAGGCGCACCTGGATCTTTGTAGTCAGGACTACCATCCATTTTTTTTATAGTCATTTGATCCCTCAAAATGTCAATATATGAAGGTTTGACTTCCTTTGGCTTCAAATTCTCTTTGTTATTCTCCACTTCTTCGGAAGGAATATTTGGTAATTGGTCCTTGACAACCTCTTCACTTTGTGGTTCTTCTACTGCCACATTGGATTCTGATTTTTCATCGGCAAACAAATCATCTAAATCATCTGCATCCACTTTTACTGAGTTTTCTTTAGAGTCTTCTTTTTCTTCATTGCGTTCTTCATCACTATCATCACCTCCAAACAATTCGTCAATCTCCATGTCGTCATCTTCAGATTTCTCAATTTTCTGTTCCGTGATATTTGTATCGTCTCCTGGATTCAAATTGGCCTGATCTGTTTTGAAAAACTCTTCAGTATTCTGCAATGTGAACATTTCTGCATCCATTGGGGTAGTTGCACTCAATCCAATAGAATCAATATCCTTGGGGATTTCTGTCACAGACCCAATTCCAGAATTAGAATGAACACTTCCAACACTCAATGGCGGATGAGTCATCAGTTGCAGTTGATTATTTTGGGGCACTTGCTGTTGCTGTTGCTCTTGTTGTTGTTGTTGTTGTTCTTGTTGCGCCTGTGCTAACATCTTCTGTTGTTGTAAATGGGTATTGTGTGTTATTTGAAAATCAAGAAAATCTGCAATTAAATTTAATGGATTGTTTATATCCGGTGTGTCTGATATGATCTCTTGTTTTAGATTTTCAAATTTTCCAAATTGTAATAAACACAATTCCCACGGCCAAAGTATGAACTTTTTATTGTCCACTGAATGAATGAATTTGCCAATAAATGACGTTTGATGGTTTAAATGCTTTAGATTTGGGATAAGTTTGACCCAGAGACTACTTTTGCTACAATCAATACCCGTTGTTAGTCTTAATAATTCTAGTAATTTTTCATTCTCGACTTGTGGTTTCTCAACAAGATTGTTTCTTAAGTTCGTTGCATCAAACAAATGACACCTAATCCCACTTGGCACTAAATAAATCACATAATTTGTTTCAATGGAACAGTCCTGTGGGTATGCAAGTGACGAATCGAATAACCTGACGGATGGTTTTTCTAGGCATGAAAGTAACAAGTCTCCGTTTTGAAACAATACAGGATCAAGACATAGAATTGAGTACGATTGGTCCTTATTTGATATTACACAGTAGTTTCCAAATAACTTCACCAACCCTTGCAATGACAAATTATACAAAATCATTTTCTTTATTGCCTTGAGGAAACTCAAACCTGCATAGGTTAAATATTCATTAGGTACTTTTAATGGATTAGCAAACTGCTCCGAAGTTGCAGTGTCTGATTGTTTAATAGAAAGTTGGGGGAACTCTTTAACCAAATCAATTATAGATTCCACATTATGACCAAATGTAAAATAGTACAAATTTTTGTTGTAATAAGTGATTAAAATTTCCGGGAACTGATGTCTAATTGTCAACTCTAGTTCCAACAATGCCTGGTCATTATTTGCGGCAGATTCATATATCGTATAATTGATACTACCCAAATGGGCTAGTTTGTAGTAATGAGTAGAAATACTCGCAGCATTTGCCTCTGCCATTTTGATTATTGATGAAATATGTGATTCAAAAATAAATGTAGTAACACTGTCTTTACGTGAGTTGAAAATTAAACTAGTGAATATAGCTTTGTTGGACAGTAGATCGGTGCGGTAGAGGAAGTGGAAAAAAATATATAAAAAAAAAGGAAGAAAAAAAAAACTAATCTGAAGTCAAACAGAATACAGAGAGAAAGAGAGGCAAGAAAAAATTAGGTAAATTATACTTTATAAATACAATATCAATCCGATTGCGCGCATTCATCAAAGCTCCTTTCAATCATTCCGTCAGTCGGTTGGTCGGTTGGTCGGTCACTTTTAGTTCAGTAAGATACCTGTGATTCAAAAAAAAAAACGACCTTTACCAATGTTAGGGATTTGATCTGTTTAGGTAACATCTGCGATTATACAAGTTTGTATTTATGACATTGTTCTCGTTCTGTCTGTGTTTCCTTTTTGTTGTCATTTGCTAGTCATTTTTTTCATGTACATGGCAGTTGTAAACGAATGGTATCCATTTGTTGTCTCACCAACAATAAATTGATAAAAACTTGAATGTAATAAGTCAAATATCTCATGACCATTAATAAACACATTATGTTTATATATATAAAAAAAAGAAATCAATTATGAAAGAAAACACCAAGCGTGATTATTATTTTATACACTTGTTAATATTATCTGGATGCGTGGTTGTTCCCTAGATGTTTTTTTTTTCTTCTTCTTCGTCTTCTTCTAGTTTAAATCTCTTTTCTTTTTGCAACACGTATCAACGGGTCAAATGTGTCTATGTTTACACTTCTATTCATCAGTGTCCTATTCAAGAGGTATGAAATTGAAGCTAATTGAGTCACTCAGACCACTGAGTTCCTATTGGGACTCATCCAGTTCTGCCTCTATTTTAATCTTGCCGCACGAGGTGATTGCTAAAATCTTACACTACAAGTATGTAAGGGATCAACAACTCAAGTACGTTTATCATATGATTAAAACTTGTAAAGAAATTTATTACAATCATGTATCATTGCTTTACACTCTAGAGCCTGTGGTTGTGAGTTTGGCCAAATATCCTAATGGAATATCAGTGGAAACCTTGCGGTTGCTAAACAAAAGTCAAATATCTAATCAAGTGAAATGGTTACAGTGGGTCTTGACCCCTAAAATCACCACCACAAAAAAGCACCAAGACATGGTCATTAATTGTATCACTGATTTCCCTCGACTTACTAGCCTTCATCTTTCCATCAGCTCGTTGGATTTATTAACCAATCTAACCAAGTTGCCGACAAGCGTTACTTCTTTAGAGATCTGTATCACAACTCAGGTAAATCCTGCCTGGAATATGGAAGGTATTTCCAGAGACATCCCTAAACTTAACTTGAATGTGTTGAAGTTCCAATCTTTTTATCCCTTAAGCTTAAAGAAATATTATTATCCAATTGTAAGATCTACTTTGGTTTCAAAATCGCCATTGTATTCCTGGTTGGCAATTAATGATAATATTCCAACCGCACACAAGAACTCTCCAATCAATCAAGTTTGTGAAATTTTGGCTGTCTTGTTGTACAACGCGAGGTTTTCTTTACAATACCTTCACATTGAGAAATTGCATCCAGTATTTTTGTTTCGTGTTATGGAAGTAGCCTTCTATCCAATTTCATTCCTAACGCCACCACTTTCAGATTTGAGTGATTGTAATGAGTTTCCAGAATTGAAATTAATTAAAGTGGACAATTCCTACCTGTTGACAGATGATTTGCTTCTAAAGTTCTTAGGGCAAAAAAAGGAAAAACTAATCATCACGGATTTCATGTTTCAAAAAGAAGTTATTGAAGTGAGGATAGATGAGTTTCAGACCATTTTCAAAATAATTCACCATAGAAACGAATATTCATGTATGAACTTGTTTGCTGAATTGAAATTCAAAGAATAATGTTACGTAGGTGTGTGTGTGTGATGTTGTTTTTCTTTTTTCAGCTACAAGTGGAGTAAATCGTATGAGTTTTGTGTAATTTCCGAAGTTCACATAGTTAATTTAACGGGTACAAGTCCCACTGCAAATTCGGGTTGTCTGAAGCAATCAATTCCTTGTTACTCCACATAATAATCTGGAAACTATAAAAGAGGATGTGAATTTCTCCTATGATCGAGATCTTGTATGTTTTTTTTTTAATCTTTTGCTATTAGAATCTTTATTGATAATGTCAGAATACGGATTTGTTAGAATCACTAGAGTTGTCGAAGAAGCAATCGCATCCCCAAGGGATCCAACTCCACAACTAAACACTCAGTTGCCATTAGATACACCATTAGCTAAGTTTGTGTACGATTATGCTAAGGAAAAGCTTCCAGTTGAAACTTTCAATCATTCGGTCAGAGTTTACTTTTATTGTGTAGCTATTATCAAGGATCAATTTCCTGAATGGGATTTAAACTACGAAGTTGTATGGGTGACTAGTTTGTTGCATGATATTGGAACTACCCATGAGAATATGAACACAACCAAATTATCGTTCGAAACATGGGGTGGTATTTTGTCCCGTGATTTGATTTTAAGTAAAACCAACGGTAACAAAGACTATGCCGATGCAGTTTGTGAAGCAATTGTGAGACATCAAGATTTTGGTAATGTTGGTTATATAACCACGTTAGGTTTGATTTTGCAAATTGGTACTATGTTGGATAATGTTGGTGACCATAGCCACTTGATACATATAGATACTCTTGATGCTGTTAACAAAGCATTTTCAAGAAACAATTGGTTGAATTGCTTTGCTGATGCTATTGATTATGAGAACAAGTTGAAGCCATGGGGCCATACCACTGCATTAGGGAGTGATTCAACTAGAACGCGTATTCTTAGTAACAAGCTTAAATACGAAAAGTTGTAAAATGTAGTCACATAGTTTGATAGTTTTCTTATTTTGTTTCAAATATAAAACAGATAAAATTCCTATCGTTAAAATAGAAAACGAGTAAAAAAAGAAAATGCGGAATCGATTTTCAACATTCGCGTAAAAAAAAAATCTGCTGTAGTGATCCTGCAACCTCAGGCTATTTTCTCTTTTCAATTTTAACCACAACAAACCACTATCATGTCAGAAGAGAAGAGAATTCGTATGTGTTGTTATTATTATAAATGTGATATTAATAGAATTGAATACTAACTTGAAGTTGTATGTGTGTGTTTATCATTTCTTAACTGGTGAATACATTTATTTGACCCTTGCCAGAGGGGGCTCGCCACGAAAGAACTAATTGAATAAACACATAAACAACAATAATCCATAGCAATATTAAAAGCATCCGATTTAGCAGATGAAATCCAGACCAAAGTTTTTGAATTATCCGAACAAGCTTTGTCAACATATAAAATTGAAAAAGATATTGCAGCCTTTTTGAAAAAAGAATTGGATCAATTATATGGACCTACTTGGCATGTTATTGTCGGTAAATCTTTTGGAAGTTATGTTACCCATGAACAAGGATACTTTGTTTATTTCTATATTGGTGATATGGCCTTTTTGATTTTTAGAAGTGGATAGAGCAACAGAAGTAAAACATAAGTAAGTTGATTAAAAGAGTATGCTTTTTAGTGTATGTTGTATCAATTTAGCCTAAATAAATATACCTATTCGGTGAATTTTTCTTCTTGACCACCAAATAAAGTGTAAACTGGAGCATCTAATCTATCTCTACCTTTCAAGAAATCCAATTCCATAACAAACAAGTATTCAACAATATCAGCACCTGATTTCTTAGCCAATTCACCAGCACCATAAGCTGAACCACCAGTAGCCAAAATATCATCAACAATTAAAACTTTAGAACCCTTTGGAATGACATCTTGTTGGATTTCAAAAACATCAGAACCGTATTCTTTTTGGAATTCGACTTTATAAGTTGGACCTGGTAATTTACCTGGTTTTCTAACTGGTATGAAACCAGCATCTAAAGCCAAAGCCAAAGTTGGACCAAATAAGAATCCTCTACTTTCCAAACCAATAACATAGTCGATCTTCTTGTCACCAACATGTAATTTGAAAGCTTTAACCAATTTGTTGAATAAATCTGGTTTAGTGAAAATTGGTAAGAAATCTTCAAATAAGATACCTTCTTTTGGGAAATTTGGGAATTGTTTCAAATTAGATTTTAATTCTTTAGCCAAAGCGTTAATTTCTTGAACTCTTTCTGACATTATAAGTGTGTGTTTTAGAATAATATCTCATCAAAAAAGCCGATGATTGATACAAGAGATAAAATAGAAATTTTAAATTGCATCGCGACATGTGGGCCCAACAAGAAAAAAAAAAAATTGAGAATCAACTTTGATCCAAATAAATACGACATTAGTTCCAATGTCGCAATCTCTCACTCGCAACGCGTGTAACAATCTATTCATCAAAAATCAAAAAAAAAAAAAAAGCAAATTCAAAACAATCGCAAAACAAAAACAAATATTCATTTAATAGAAGACAAACAGTTTACTGGCGGTTTTTCTAATTTTATCATCAATTTACAAATCTTCATTTTCTTATTCTCAATTGCATTTTTTTTTTCATACCATATTCATGGCTGACGCTACAGAAGATATTTTAAGAAGATTTGATTGTAAAGCATCATCACCAATTAAGGTCCCAAATAATTTAAGTCAAAGTTATCAAATGGCGGATGATAGTCTGATAGATTTAAGAGATTATATGGATCGTCAAAAGCTGTCTAGAAACTATTCTGACAGTGAATATACGCCATCTCCCATTAAAAGAGAAAAACCAGAAACCAAACAGTCGGCACATTTATCAACTACAACTAGATTACCACCAATACTGCCAAAGAAACTATTTGCATCACCAACCAAGAATTATAGTCAACATGTGATGCAAGAAAGATCGGCTCCAAATAGCCCTCAGAAGAAATCATTACCTAATGAAAATGATGATCTCAAGAACTTGCGATTGGAAATGAAAAGACTCAAACAGGAATATAATGTGAAAATTGAAAATTTGAATTATAAATTGAATTTAATAACTAAAGAACGAGATGAAATAATGAAAGAAAATATTGAATTAACCAGTGATAAAAGTCGATTGAAAACACAAAATGATTTATTACTGGTTGATAATGATAATTTACTCAAGAGAAAGTTTGAAAGTGAAAAGCAATTGAAAAACCTGGAGATGAAGATCTTGAGTTTGGAGGATAAAGTTGAGAAATTGGTTAGTTTGAATAAATCAGTTACTGTCAAGAATATGACTATGAAACAATCACTTGAGGGTATTCAAGTCAAATTAAAGAAATATTATGATTTATACAAAGAATGTCAAGAAAAACATAATAATCCACAGGATTCCCCACCTAAAGTTAAAATTGCTACTCCTGATCCAGAAGTAGAAACTCAAAATAAAGCTTTGCAACCACAACTTCAAATTCAAGAGTTGGTTCAAGCGTTAAAGAACTTGACGATAGCCATCGAACTGAAAAACGATATCCCAAGTAGCGAGTTGCACTATCTTGTAAAGATTCTTAAGGAGCTAATTGCTAAGGACATTTTTAGACCAAGTTCGCCAAATCATCAAACTCAGCCAGTTTTTCAGTCCACTCCACAATCTAAAGTCGAATCAGTCAATCTAGAGAATGTACCACCAGAATCACAACCATCACATGTATCCAGTAATCTGCAGCAAAATTTAAGCGATAAATCTAGAACTTCCATTCCAAGCCGTGATAATCCTTCCCCGAATGTATTACGTGCGGAAGAGCCTCAAGATTTTCATAATGCTAATCCAATCCAATCGCAGCCTAAGGAATGGACCCGTGAACGAGAAGAACGAGACGGATCTACAGGTTATTCTATTCGATCTGATATGGCGGAAATCAAGGAGTTTCTTAAATTTTTAGTTGATGGAGTGAAGAATGATCAAAAAGACACGAATCTGCCAGAAGAATCAAATACCGATGGTAAAGAGGAGGAAGAAAAAGTACACATTGAAGATAAATCATGTCATTGTAAGCCAGTTTCTAACCATGCTGCTTTCTGTCCGGTTTGTTTAAATAGGGAAGATTTCACAGTTTCGCATTTCCTTAGTCAATAAATATACCATTGGTGATGCGGATGAAAAGTAGTCTTTTCTCTCGATGGAATGATCTGCATGATAAATTAGGGCATTGCTTCGCATTTAAAAGTAAACAAAACAAACTGCAAAACAGGTTAAAAAAAATAGACAATTTGAGCGTAAACAAAAAGCGAAAAAGTGAAAACTGCCCATTTTGCATATATAGTATGTAATATTTCACCAAAGATCTAGAGAATGTTTTTCATCATGAACAAGGACCGTTGATTTCTTTATTGTTCTTTTGTTATTTCCTTTAGTTAAGATTTCTAAATTTTTTCCTCGATGAATTGTGCATACGGCGTGACGTAGTGCACGCTGCCCCCCCCCATTGAAAAGTGAGATGAATGAAAAGCTGATGTCCACAGTCATTATGTAATCGCAGATCTACAAGTAAGGAAATTTCATGTTCGTTGAAGTCTTATTATTGTTATTATTATTATTTGTTCGGTAAACAAAGAAACGGGGGAAACAGAATTGTAATTGTTTGAATCTGTCGATTGCTTTGCTTTAGCGACGAAGAAGAAATTTGTGATGTTCTATTTACCTTTCCTTTTTAATGAAACGATGCAGTTTCATGATAATCATCACCTCTTTTTAACAAGAAGAAGAAGAAGAAAGGAACAAGTTGTCATATTTATGGATTGAGGCGAGTTTGACATTATGACTTGTCACAAGTTTATTTGTTTTTAGAAATACCAAAAATGACAAAACGAAAGTTTAAAATAGAATCTGGAACAACCTAAGCATATCTCCGACGTTTCAAGAGTATCGACTCTAACATTAAAAAGTCTTAAGCACCGTTGTTGACAACGTTATGAAATATTGAAAACAAATCAAGAGAATTTTAAGTTTACGAAGAAATAGAATTTATTATTCGTATCAAGTGTATGGACTGTTTGTTTACAAGAATACCGGTTAAACCAATAAGCAAAGTAACGAAATAATTGGCTAAATAAAATGTAACAGACAACTGAACTGCAATGTTTATCTTTCTCTCTCTGATTAAACGCAATGGATGGATATTGTACGCGATATGAAATTTGCATGACACTTTTGTAAATTAGATGGTTGCGAAAATAATGTAGCATGGTAATTGAATTATATTTATTATAATAATAGCCACCTTCAAAGGTTAAAAGAATATGAAAGGATAAAACAAAAAGGATGGAACAAAATAATAATGATATGTAAAAAAAAAAAATCTTTGATTCCTCTTGTTTATCTGTTTTCCTAAAATGGGTTGATTTGATGCGTGAAATGGAACGCGTCATTTAACAAAGAAAAAGAAAATTCATAGAGCAACACTAAAAACCACATTTAATGACACTAAAAAGCACTAAATGAAAGAAAAACAAACACTCGATGGGTTACACAAACTTACTCAGAAAAAAGACAATAAGTGTAGAGATATCATCAAGACGTGGAGCAACAGGGGGAGAGAGTATGGTATCCACAAAATAAATGGTGGCAGCTACTGGTGTGTTAACACAAGAGCCAATAGTCGATCGGTCTAAATGTTTCATAAACCATTTACACGAGAAGGGTTTAAATACTTGGGCTTAATTACAAAAACAGGGGTGAGAGTACCAGCGACGGCTATAAAAAGTACCCATAGGAGGAATCTAAGTGGTTTTCAAGTGTCCGATATCCTCATCTTCCCCCATTTTACAATCAAATATGATTGCGAAACAAGAACAATTGTAAAGAAATAGATAAACAAAATAAAATAAACAAAACCCAAAAATATAGCAAAAGTAAAACAAATCAAAAAAATCAAGTTGACACGACATCTCCCCTACCTGTTTTTTTTAGTTCTCTCTCATCCTCATTGACATTGAATATAACCTTGGGGTCTAGTATCATCATCTTTACAGACCATTTAGTAGCGGCTATATCGCTGTAATCGATAATAGAATTTCATGTTAGGAATTTCTTTTACTCCGCGGTGTCAGATAATATTATTTACAACAGGAATTCGGCCCACTGGGTTAAAAAATGAATCGACCTAATCGCGGAGCCACCGCGTTAAACTAAAAATAACAAACCGAAAAAAAAAAGAAAAGCAAAACAATATCCTAATTGAGCCAAACCGAAAATTTCAAGTTCACAACGTAACCAGATTTTACTCAATTAAGATTTAATCAAAATATTCTCAATCATAACCTATACCAAGGAGCAATACTTAGATAATACAAATCCCATAAAGTACTTGTCAATCTTTCATCTTAAGTATTCTTTACCATTTATCCTCTTCGTATATACTAGACATTTATTACAATTGGTCATTTGCATTTTCTTTTATCTATTTATTAATTGACTGTATTTCCCTCCGTTTCTTCACGGCGGTCTACAGCTACATATAAAAATTAGGCCGAAATAAAACAAAAACTCAAACCCAAAGCACACATTTTAACATCCATTTGTGATACGTTATTTTTAGCTAAATACAAAAAAGAAAAAGAAAGTAAGACAGAAATCCTTATTTGTGTAATAAACTGTCTGTAACAATTTCATATTTTCAATAATTTCCAATCCAGTAACAAAAACAGGCAATATAAAAGTAACAAAACATATTGCATAAGAGGAAGAAAAAAAAAACATCACCAAGTTCAAACACAATCAACAACTGCAAATACAATAAAAGAGACTACGAAAATCTTTTTTCTTCCTTTCTATAAAAAAAAAAATCCTCCTTCCCCCTTTCACTTCTTTTCTTTCCCCAATAGTATTTATTCATCTCAGTCTCAATTTTGATCTTATACAATTGGTACTTACTACTTCATCACCTACCTCTTGTCCCTTCATCTACTATTTACCAACCCCCCTCGCATCTTCATCCTCCCTTATTCATTTCATCACGTTCAAGAAAGGAAAGAAAAAAAATTTTTATAACGACTTTTTTTTTAATTATTATTTCTAATTGATCTTAGATTTATTCTATACGTTACTACTAATAGGTTGATATTCAAATCTATTCCCATATTCTTTTCTTCATTATTATTTATATTACTAATCATATACCCTTATTCATAATGCCTCAAACAGTGCAGTCTAATAATGAAAACGAATTCAGACTTACGAGATCAAAAGTACAGCAACAACAGAATATAACATCAACTACAACGCAACTTTCTAAAACTACTATATCAACAACTACAATTAACACTGAATTGACAACAAATCATCAACATTCATCACAATCTACCGAAGCACTCGAGCAAATTCAGAGCCAGCAAACGACGCGACAATATTTGGGTGATGTTTCGAACCAGTACATAACAAGACAACCTTTACCAAATAGCACGACCACAAATAAAAGAAAACCATTGGGCGGTGATAATGCTCCTTTGCAACAACAAAATAAATTGGCTAGACCAATACCCATTCCTAATGATAATAAGCTTTCTTCCTTGGCTGTTCCTTCACGATTGCCTCAAAAGAGACAAGCCACAGAATCGTCTACTAATTTGGTAGAGAAGTTGAGAATACCAGACTCAGCCGCAGACAACACCGAATCTTATCATAAGAAATCAAGATTAATAGATTATGAATGGCAAGATTTGGATGAAGAAGACATTGATGATCCTTTAATGGCCAGTGAATACGTTAATGACATTTTCTCTTATTTTTACGAATTGGAAACCCGAATGTTGCCAGACCCACAATATTTAACGAAGCCAAACACCCATTTGAAACCACGAATGAGATCCATCTTGGTTGATTGGTTAGTTGAAATGCATTTAAAATTCAGATTGTTGCCAGAATCTTTATTTTTGGCCATTAATATCATGGACCGTTTTATGTCAATTGAAACCGTACAAATAGACAGACTACAATTATTGGCAACTGGTTCGCTATTTATTGCTGCTAAGTATGAGGAAGTTTTCTCTCCCCTGGTTAAAAACTATGCGTACTTTACTGACGGCTCCTACACTGAAGAAGAAATCTTACAAGCTGAAAAGTACATTTTAACCATTCTTAATTTTGATTTAAACTATCCAAATCCAATGAATTTTTTGAGAAGAATTTCCAAAGCTGATGATTATGACGTTCAATCCAGAACATTAGGTAAATATCTATTAGAAATAACTATCGTGGACTACAAATTTATTGGCATGAGACCATCCTTGTGCTGTGCACTGGCCATGTATCTAGCTAGATTGATATTAGGTAAAGTACCAATTTGGAATGGTAATTTAATTCATTACAGTGGAGGCTATAGACTAAATGATATGAAACCATGTGTTGAATTGATGTTTCAGTATTTGTTAGCACCAATAGAGCATGATGAGTTTTTCAAAAAATATGCCATGAGAAAATTCATGAAAGCAAGTACTTTATGCCGAAGCTGGGCCAAGAAATTTGAAGCAGAAGGAAGAGATTTGTTTGATGTTAGTTTGTCGACTCATAGATTAACATTGGAAAGTGATGAACTGTAAAATAGAACAAATGTAGAGTACAACCACCCCCTAGAGTAGGAGTACAATTTCCTACTGGGATATTACTATTTTTGCATACTGTATATTATTTATAATTTATAATATTATACGAAATAATTAATAAATCAATCAAAAAAAAAGTCATATAAAGTATAATAGTATATGGGATCTTTCCGAAGTCACGTGTTTGTTGTGTTAGATCAGTTTCGACGACGCGTCGCGCGTTAAAAATTCTATCAAAACCCAGTTGACTAAAAAGAAAGAAAAATAAACCATTGAAAAGAAAAAAAAAAAAAAAAAAAAGGGAACAATAATAAATAAGGAGAGGAAAGGAATCTTATCGACCATATTACTTTCAACAAATCAATTATGTTCAAAGGTTGCAATTTTTTAATTATAAGATCTGATAAACTAACACAGGATCAAGAACTTGTCAAGCTTTTAACTGCAAATCGAGCCGTTAACATTTATGTTAAAGATGAATTTGATAATTCTAAAAATTATATGGATCCTCCATTAATCACTCATATAATTACTGAAACCATTAATTTTATTGAATATAATCAAGGAGTAAATTCTATGGTTCCTATAGTTACCACATCTTGGGTATATGATAGTATTAATTTTCAAAAATTACAATCATTACGTACTTATAATCCTAATCCAAATTATTTTTTAAAAGATTGTTTTATATGTTGTTGTGATAATTTACCTAGTGGAGATAAAGAATTGATTTATGGTGCAGTAAGTGCATTTGGTGGGGGTTATGTGGATACAATTACTAAATATACTACCCATTTGATTGCTTTAGATGTTGTTAATGAAAAAGCAGTAGTAGCTGCAAGTGTTGCAAAAAGTGGAAGTCAACGTGGAGATATAAAAATTGTATTACCACATTGGATAGATCATTGTATAACATTGGGGAAAAAATTAGAAGAAGATGATTATTTATTACCTGATCCAAAGATATTGAAGGGTGATGAAGGTAAATTTGATTTGGAGAATGTGGTTCTGTCAGCTGTATTTAGTGATTCTTTACCAAAAGATGAATATATCAAGGCTACTTTGGATTGTTTTAAAGGTAAGAACTTTTATTTGAGTTCTGATTTTAATTGGTCACAAAGACTAGCCAATTCTATCAAGTTACTAATAGAAAGACATGGAGGTAAAATTGTCAAGGCATTTGATCTGAAAAAGGTGGATATATATCTTGGGAAATTCAGACAAGGTGATTATTACAGGGAAAGTTGTTTGAGTAATAGAATAATAGTTGGAAATTTACAGTGGCTATATTCAATTATCGTTTCTCAAAAATGGGTGTTGCCGTTGAATGCAAATATTTTATATTACCCGATTCCAACTGCTCCATTACCTGAATTTCAAGGTCTCAAAATTTCAATTACAAATTATAGTGGTGATTCTAGACAATATTTAGGTAAATTGATTACCATAATGGGTGGATATTTCACTACTACTTTAACTAGAGAAAATGATTATCTTGTATGTGCTAAAGCAAGTGGTAAGAAATTTGATGCGGCATTAAATAAATGGTTAGATCAGAATGGTAATTCACAAGTGAAAGTGGTTAATCATTTGTGGTTAGAAGATTGTTTTACTCAATGGGCAAAATTAGATGATAGTTTGGATAAGTATAAGAATTTTGGTACTGAATTAATTGATATGGAACCATTGGTTGGTAGAACTCATTTGGATTCAGAGGTTTTAAAACAATGGAGTTTAGTAGTTGAAGATGAAGGGATTGAAGTAGATGAGACTGGAAATATTAATGATAGTATGAGTGAAGATGAATCTACTCAACGCAAGGAAAGAAGCAAATCCGTTGATGAAAATGTTAAAGATGTGAAATCACCAATCACAAAAACACCCCTCGCATCATCTCCAGTAGCTGCTAAAGGGAAAACTTTATCATCAGCAACATCATCTTCATCAACACAAGAAACCACTCCTGATCCAGTACCTACTCCAACAAGATCACCAATTACAGATAACCATACCTCAGCAGCACCAGTAGAAGCACCAGAAAGTTCGCCCCCAGTAACACAATCAAGATATGGAGGTAGATCTGCAGCTAGAAAAGCGGCTGCAAAATTGCATGACAATATGTCTGATTTACGAGAATATCAAGAGATGGCTAAAAGTAAGAGAAAAATGAAACATTACATGGAAGATCTTGAGAAATCACTCAGTCCCAAGAAACGTAAAGTTAAGAGCGATGACGGTGATCATTCTGAAGATGAAATTGAAGTTTTGGAAGAGAATAAAGTTGTTGAATTTGACATTATTGGAATCATGACTGGTTGTGAATCAGAAATTGAACTTAATAAACAAGATCATGAACATTTGAAGAATTTAGGAATTAAAATTATTACTGATTTCAATACCAAATATGAGCCTAATACTTTAATTGCACCAAGAATTTTAAGAACAGAGAAATTTTTGAGAAGTTTAAGTAAAGTTGATAGAATCATTCATCCAAATTATCTTATTAATATTCTCGAACATGTTAAAGATAAAGGAAAATCAGTATTAAAAGAATATAGAATTGATGATTATGCACTTGATAAAGTTGTTAAAACCATTGATACAGAATTGGGTTATACTAAAGGTAAAAATCATAAAGGATTACAACAATTATTAGCTAGTGAAAATAAAGGGAAATTATTTAAGGGAATAAATTTAAATTTATCAAGTAATTTAAATGGAGGAGTTCAATTAATTTCTAAAATTTTAAAAGATCATGGTATGGAAAATTTCAAAGAAATTAAAAATTCATCTAATTTAACTAAACAAGCTATAGTTAGTGAATTAAATGGAGATGAAAAAATTATATTACTTGCAAATAAAAAGAAAGATACTCGATTGATAAATGGATTCAAGAATACCTTTGATAAAGATCAAGGTATGGTACTTGACTGGGATTGGTGTGTTAAATCAATTTTCAAAATGGATTTACAAGATACTGATCAATTTACATTATAAAATTATATGCACAGTTATGAAAAATTGAATAGAAAGATAAATGAAAACAAACGTTACTTATACTAATAATAATAATAATAATAATATACACCTACAAAATAATAATGGATAAAACATACTTGAAACTCCAAAAGAATCAATCACTATAACATCTATAACAATCAACTCTTCTCTTTATTATTCTCTTTCTTCCTTTTATGCTCTAAATATCAATTAAGCTTGGACCTTCATTACCATTACGTTGTCCATTTTGCTGTTGTTGTTGTTGTTGATATTGTGGAACTGCATTACCGAATCCATAACCAGTATAAGCTGGATTAATAGGTTGTTGTTGCTGAGGAGGTTGCTGCTGCTGTTGTTGTTGTTGACCTTGGTATCCGATACCAGTGTTCAAGAATGGATTACCAGTAGCATTAGAACTCAATCTCATTTGACCATTTTCAACTTGTTTATAACCAGTACCACTTGAATTTATAAAATTTTGTGTCTTGGTATGTTGATGAGGAATTCTTGTTGCTCCGGTATTACCAAAAGTATCCAATCCTGTACCTTGTGTTAACAAATCATTCAATTCATGGGTTTCATTAAACCTTGATGATGAAGTATTTTGTTGTTTTAGTGGTGAAGTAGGTTGAGTGAAAAATTGCGGTTGTTGTTGTTGTTGTTGTTCTGCTAATGCATTCAAAGATTGAGTTTGTGTTCTGTTATTGTTATTGTTACTTGTTTCAGAAGATAAGGCAAATGGATTGTTTGATCCTGTTTTTAATGGTTGCAAAGGTTCTTGTTGTTGTTGAGGTTGTCCATAATTGAACCCTGTGAAATTGTTTGGTTGGAATTGTGGTTGCTGTTGTTGTTGTTGGTAAAGAGCTTGTTGTTGTTGTTGTTGATTGTATAACCCAGTATCCATTGGATTCTGTATTGGGTTACCAAAAACGTCAAATTGTTGATATTGTTGTTGACCATAATATTGTGGCTGTTGATATTGGGTTGGTTGGAAATATCCAGTAGCTAAATAATATTGTGGTTGAGCACTTGGAGTTTCGTCATTTAAATCCAACAAATTGTTATTTTGCTTTTGTTTCCTCATTTCTTCTTCTTCCAATGATAATTTCAAAGCAGCTTCTAATTCTGGATCATTTTCATCTTCTCTGGCACGATTTTGTTCTTCTTCAGCAGTAATTCTTGACAATTCCAATGCTCTTTGTAAATCAGCATCATATGGTTCATCTCTTCTTGAACGTTCATCTCTGTTTCTATTTCTATTTCTTCTTCTATCGTCACCAAAGCCATCTTCGTCATCATTGTAACCACCACGACGTTTGCTTTTCTTTGCTCGTTCTCTTTCTTGTCTCAACATTTCATCATCTCTTAAGAGTGTAACCAATTCCTTAGCTTTGACTCTAATAATTGCACCTTGATCTTTATTTTCTTCATCTAAATGAATGAATTCTCTCAAAGTTTTGATGATGTAAAGATTATCCTTTGCCCATAATACACATTTTTCAGATCCATAACGGACTAAATAATCTAAAACAGTCAATGATTTAGCAATATGTCTCCAATTTTTACCTTTATCATTCAATCTACGATCTAACATATCCATAACTTCCATAAATTCAGTTTGGCCCTGATACGTGAAAGAAGCAATTTCTTCCATATCAAATGTTGTTGGACCGGTAGGATCATTTGATGTAGCATTTCTAACCACCTTCTGAGCAGATGTATAACCACCAGCCACATTTTTAATTGAACGAACTATCTTTGACATGGTATTATAACTAGTAGTAGTAGTAGTAGTAGTATGATGATGATGATGATAGTTGTATGAGAATGGATATTACCCCCCTTTTTGTTCCTGTTGGTTAAATTTGATTTTGATACGGGGCGTTGATGAGGCAAAATTTTTATTGGAATTTCAATCGATAAAGGAAAAACTTCCGACACAATTTCTTCTTTGCTCACTCATTTGTTCGCTCACTCCCTCGCTCGCTCGCTCCTCATTTTCCTACTGTTTGTTGTTGTCGTCGGTGTTGGTGTTGGTGTCGGTGTCGGTGAACAAAAAAGGAACAAAATATCCGCGCTTGTGCGCACGTACACGACCATGCAATTACAACCTTTAAACAAAAGTGAGAAGCGTCATGTAAAAAAAAAAAAAAATAATAATATATATTGGAAAGATACAACCGCAAGAGCTTGTTTTACAGTATAAGAAAAAAAAAAATCAAGTGGATATGGATATGGATATGGATATGTCGGAATTACAAAAAGAACAAACAACTAACGAAGTTAACAAAATATTATGGTTCACTTTTTATTTGGTCTTGATTATTAATTATCTGATAATCGGATTTTAATTAAAGATTGAATTTGACTTGTTCTTCTTCGGTGTCGATTCATTTTTATACTTTTTCCTCGGATTATTCCAACCATTCTCTCTTATTGGTCATAAGTCCGTCTTTTAGTTTTCCTTTTTTTTTTTTTAATGAAGTATTGCCGCAAAATAAATCATAAACTAATAAAAAATCATAATAATCATTATATTTTAAATATCTCTATGGGTATGAACATTACGTTTTCTAAATAAACTCAAACAATAATACTAGTAATACAACTATTGATAAAGAAGTTGAAAATCCAACAATATCACCACTATTTTCTGAAATAACAGCTATTTGTTGGTCTCTTTTGAATAATCCTAAAAATCCACTAGAACTACTACTACTAGTTGAAGTAACAGATGCATTAACACCACCATAGAATACAGTAGTATCGTTGGTCAAACCAGAATCGGTGAAATTAACATAATTTGGATTTTTATCTTCAGCATAAGTTCCATCCCAACAATATTGTTCAAAACATTGTTTACATTGTTCCAGTTGTTCAATTCCTCTTCTTTCTTGTTCTCTTCTAATAATAGCACAACTAATACATGATTTGAAATTTGGATCAATGGTATTATTCAATCTTGATGCAACATCAAATCCATTTTGAATCAATCCTTTTTTCTGTTCATCAGTAAAAGTCAAGGAAAGAGTACTAACATTTGAATAATATTCATATGGTCTATTAGCAAAATAAACAACTAATGGAGGAACAACGTCATCTTTCATTAAATCAGTCAAGTTTTTAGCATCACATCCAAAAAATGCTGGTCTTGCTGTGAATCCTTTTTGTAAGAATGTATTTGAATCAGGAACATATGGACAAAGACTTGATGAACCTTGTTGAGCAAATTGACGTTCATAACTTGAAATCAATGCACTTCCATCTGGCCAACTAGTAGAAGTATCAGTATTGTAATCAAAAGCAAGTACAACATCTAATTCTCTTTGTTTAACCATCAAGGTAGATAATGGGATGGATTCTCCTCCAATACCACCATCAATAAGATATAAAGTATCATTAGTGGTGATATTTTCGGAACTAGCAAATTCAGAATTATAAAATGGATTTGGTTTATAAAGAGCAACATCTTCAGTGGTAACAGATAAGTAAGTCAATAATTTCTTCAACACAATTTTAACAATAAAGTTTAAAGAATTACAATCATCACAAACCAAAGTGTTCATAAACAGATTGAATAATGAAGATGATGTACCAACAACAAATCCTGCATTATCAAAACCATTGACACAAGCATTTACTGGCTTACCATTATCAACTGGAGTACCCAAATATTTAATATCTGTAAAAGTATTTAAAGAAGGATCAAAAGAACCAAATTCAAATGGATTCATTTCAATAACAGTGGAATTCAAATTGAAAACAACAGTACCTGGACGTCTTCCTAAAGCAGTAACAAACATGAATGGCATATCATGGTTAGCAAAAGCTGTGGAATCTCTAATGTCACTCCAAGTGGCACTACTACCATAATTATTATCATCTTGTGGGAATAATTGATGAGCTAAACCTCTTGACCAAGCATCAGTCAATGAAGTTTCAAAACCGGCCATCATTTTAGCAGCCAAATCATATTTGATACCTTGTTTATTATTACTCCAAAAATTCATAAAACTTAAAGCACTAGTTAAATTATTTCCAATTACTGGCAAAATAATTTTCCATAAATTAGTTTGATTAACTAATTGTCTTGATTCTGTTAAATTCCATAAATCGTATGGGTTTTCAAAAACAACTTCTTCAACAGTAGTAAAATTTTGCATTGCTAATGATCCCAATAACCATGAACTTCCAGATAATCCAGAAATATAATTTGCACTTTGTAAAATACCACCTAATGGAGTATCAAAAGAATTTCTATCATCTAATGCCATTAATGCACCTGCAGAACCCAACATGGCACGATAGCCACCTCCTGAAAATGCCAATCCAAGATTAATACCTTGATAATCATCAGAAGTAATAAATTCTTCAGCATTGAAATCACTTAAATTTGCTGAACTTAAAAATTCGATTAATGCTTCATTTGTTTTTAATTGTCTATTTGAAATCCATTCTTTTTCCAGGTCAGAAATTGAATTGGCTTCTCTGATAAATGTAAGATTTGAATCATCTGAGGGACATTGAACTATACCTGGGGCATATCCATTAGTAGGAGATGAGGCTAATACTAATGAAATGCTCAAGAAAGCAAAATAAATAAGTGAATGCATTTCTAAAAGTAGTTACCTAGAACAAACAAACCAAAAAAGAAGGAAGGAAAGAAATCAAAAATCTACAGCTACATGATCAATAAGCCAGGATTTTGTATCTTACTTATATAGACGTATAAACTCAGGATATGTAGAACAAAAAATAAAAAAAAAAAATCGTTAGGTCAATAATTGGCATAAGAAGAGGGAAAGTTCAACTAAAAATAACAATAGCGAGAGAAGAGTGGATGCATTTTTCCATATTGTGTCGGTCCATTTTGTGAGATGTTGGGTTGAATGAATAGAGCACTAAATTATCTAGATGAGGAAATTTAATTTCACCCAAAAAAAATAATAATAGTAGTAACAATAATGAAATAAAAATGAACTATAAACTATAGACGAAAACAAAGTTGAAGAAGTAAACCATGATGAGTATATATCAATTATCGAGTGGTGAACTATAGTGGAGTAAGATAATTGTTGTAAATTAAAAGGTTTTGGGGTATTTACCTTATGTTGGTGCAACAATACAAAAAGGATGCTTTTTGAAAGTTTATTACTTTAAACAAATAAAAAGCTGGACTTGCAATATTCACCAAACATCTATGATTCATGGAATATCAAGATTGTATTACAAAAAATAAAAGAAACTAGCCTCAAGGATCAATTGTTGGGTAAAGAATAATCTCATTTAATGCACGGTAGAGTACAATCACCTTTTTGTCATATCACAACAGGCATCAATTAATTGCGTCGTTTAATACACATGTAGGAATTTTCGGAATTGGTTCCGTCATTGTGTAATGTTACCAAGTAACCCCCCCCCCATTCTCCTCTCTCTCTCTCACTGTGTAAATCAAACTTCTAATCAAGCAACTAATTAACCAAAAATAAAATCAGTTTTAACTTCATGTGAGTTGCCTATTCAAATTTGTATTTATGTTATAAGGTTTGAATCCTGAAATGGGTCTATTTTGCATCTCCACGATAATATGCAGGAAAATTCTTTTTTTTTTTTGTAACACAAGATTATATTCACTTCAACGAACTGTTTAAAGCTGCCCACATTCTCTACTGAAGAAAAGAACCCTTGACAAGTTTATGATATTCAATAGTTTCTGGTATTTTTCATAGGTAGTTGGTACAATAAGTAACTGCGACTTTGTTTTTTGGATGGTTGGTTGTGTTCCAAATGCCAACCGGTATGTCTCACTTGACGGTAAACGTGAATTTTGTTTTTTTCTTTTTGGTTTGCTTTTTCATTAGGCTGCAAATTTTTTTCTTTGACTAGGCGGGAAATGAGTTTTTACTGTAATTTCGCAGTTATATAGCAACCAGTTATCCACTACATGGTCCATCAAAAACAATTAAAATCATATATATATCATATTTATTTATGCTCTAATAATTGTGATAGTTTTTACCTATTTATTCTTTCTTTAGTATAATAGAAAAAATTATCCGATTCGTGTCACGTGACATTAGTGAAATATTTTTTCTGTAGGAAAAAAAATGTTGTCCAATCCAGAAACTGAACAGAAGGAAAAAAAAAAGGAAAAGAAAAAAAAAAGTTCATTGAATTTGCCATTCCTTTTCCGTTTGATATCTAACTTTCATATTTGATTATCACAAGAGAGAACAATATTCCTTTTAATGGATATATTTGTATAATCAAGTTTACAAGTGTTAATTCTTTTTTTTTCCCCTGTTTGCTCAACGAGTTGATTTTAGGAAATCTCATTTTGTTTATTTTGGTTTGATAATTTTCTCATCAACTTCCTGATTTTTTTTTTTTTTGTCGTTGTCTTCAATAAGAAAACCAGTTTGAGTTTATTTTATCCGTAAGAGATTATCATCTACAACTGTCGCCAATTTGCCATATTTATTTTTCGAGTTATCAGGTTTAGCTTATCAATTCAACAATCAATCAATCAATCAATCAATCAATCAATAAAAATGGATGTTCGTCGTTGCCGTAGATGTAAGAGAAAGCGTCTTGATGATGAACCTGAAGAAGTCCGTCAATATAAAACGTGTGCCAAGTGTCGAATCATTGAAAGAAATAAAAAGAATCTGAGAAAGCCTTTGGCTGAAGAAACTATGTTGTATGGATTAAAACAATTCAGAGAACAACAATCTACAGAAAATTATATTGAAGAAGAAGGATTATTAAAGGATGAATTTTTTAAAAGGTATCATAATAAACCATTCAATTATGATGTTGAAATTGCTAAAGTGCTAAGCAATCCAAACTACGTACCTCCAGTAATACATAATCATGTTACGGATGAGGTACCAAACACAACAGCAGAAGGACCTGCTAATGGTCCAAGATACCAAATGACAATGAAGACAAATAATAATGGATCATCCCATTCAAGGACAAAGAAACAACAAAACTCTCAGTCTCAACAGCAGCAACACCAACAACAACAGCAACAACATCACCATCAACAACAACAGCAGCAGCAACAACATGCTCAAAACCAACAAGCTATTCATCAAAGAGAACAAGTTATTGACGATGAAGAAGATCTTTATAAGATATTGTCAAATTTGGGTAATAAAGATGAAGTTCGTGAAGGAGCTGTCATTTCCAAAACCAATTTAGATCCTTATTTATACAATAATGTGTTTGATGATTTCCAAAAATATTTAACAACAATTCTTGACAAATTGGGTACTAATTCACAAATCAAAAATTTGGTATTTTTAAAAGAATTCAATGATGACTTTACCACCAGTATGTCAAAATTTGATGCATACACTAAAGATCGTACATCATTGTACCAAAATTTAAGATTAAGTGAAAGACAATTTAGAAGCCATTTATTAAGTAACTTACGAGCATTATACCTCGATCTGATAATTGCATGTTTGGGACTACTTTACAAGCAAGAATATGCAAATTTAAATGAATTCAAATCAACAACATCAATAAAAGCTGGGTTTCTGGCAATTTCCAAAGCAGCAGTCGACGATGGAATTAAAAATTTGAAGGAATCATCAATCTCACTTGTATATAATAGAAAGTATAATTTGTTGATTATTACTTTAAATCATATCACCTACCAGTCTGAGGGTAAAACTTATTCATCCGAATTTAAACAGAAAGTTGGAGATATTTACAAAAAATTACAAGCCGAAGCATCATTACCTACCTCGAATCTTAAATTTGTCAAACTTGATTATGATGTTCCAACAGGTGAATTAGTTTATGATAAGTTATTATCGGTCATGGATGTTTATAGTGCAGAGTTACAGGACTTTATTAAGAAATTAACCAAAGATGAATTCATTGCTGATTTTATAAATTATGAAAATACTTTGAAAGTGAGTGCTAAAGACGATGAATCTACAGAGGGAAAACAACCTGAAGTTGCAGAAAATGATCAAATGGATATTGACAGTGAAGAAATGGATAATGATCAAAAAGAAAATGCAGAAGATGTCGTAGAGAATGAAGATGAAGATGTCATTATTGAAGGAGCAACTGAAGATGGTGTATTAGATGCTGGTGATGCATCTTTGTTGGCCAGTTTCCTTGATACCAGTAATATCAATGGAGAACCTGTTCAACAGGCAGGAGAGGAAGAATTGGATGATAAACTGCAACAAACAATGATTGAAAAAGAATCAACAGTTGATGCGTTAGATCCGGTTTTACAATTGTAATTGTGATTTACTTTGTCGTCAGTATGTTAGGTAATGTATAATTCTTTGTGTATTATAATTCAAGATTTTATTTTATATTATATTATATTATATTATATTTTGTTTTGCTTTATTATTATTTCTAATTATTCCATGTTACCATTGTGGAGTAGACAGATCTTAAGTGAGTATAAATGGACAAAGTACTGGCGTGAATCTTGAACAAAAAAAAAGTTTAGATGGGGAATGTTTCGAGTGCGTCATCGAAATAACTGATGATAAGCCCTAGGCTTTATTTTGATCTGGGAAGAACAAATTCGGGCATTGTTTGGAAACTTTATTTGTGATATTTATTATAATCAAAGAATCTAAAAGATAATTGAAATAATGTAGAGAATTAGGGTTCACCAAGGTTATAATTCTTTTTTTTTTCCCGATGTATACACATCAACTTGTCAAATTGTCAAGATATATTGGAGTAGTGACAAGTTCAGTATATCATAGGAGAGAGGAAGTTGTAAGATCAATATATTGGTGGAGAGACGATGGGGAGGATATATTCTTCGAGGGCCGGATACTAGTGACATCATATCGCGAGAATGTCTTGGTCTGTTAGTATATCCAATGTACATAAAGGAAAGGAATAAATAAACTTACTCCATGGGTCAACTGGATGTTTCCATGATGATGATATCGTGCCAAAAATAGATCGCCAAGTCTATTGCAACTGTATATAGCCATTTAAAAAATGAAAATAAAAATAGAATAGAATAACACACTCGGAAAACAAGAAAAAAAAAAGAAAGAAAACTTTTTTCCTTCTTTCTCTTTTAAATCGCGACAGAAAGAAAAAAGAGAAAATGCCCCCTTTCTTTCTGTATAACCAGAGGAAAAATTTCATCAACATAAGAATTTTATAATTTTATAATTTTATTTTATTTTATTTCTCCTTTCACTTTTTAAACAACTTCATTCGTTTTTATTCATAGTTTTATTTGACAAACCATCTTGATATTATTTGCATATTCCTACGTGTATATTGCTAACAACAACATAAAATATGAAGTTTTCTTGTTCATTCACGGCATACGTGATAATATCGATATTTTCAACCCTTGCTAATGCCATATGGCTAGACACAAATAATGAAACCACAATTAGAGAAGATTGTAATATAATTGCTAAAGGTTTATTGGATTATTATGAAGGTACAACATATGGTGGTACCATTGGTATGTTCACCAATCCATACTATTGGTGGGAAGCCGGTGGTGCTTGGGGTTCATTGATTGACTATACATTCTTCTTTGATAATGACACTTTGGTACCTTTGATTAAAGAAGCATTATTATACCAAACAGGTGATGATGATAATTATATTCCTTTAAATCAATCAACTACTGAAGGTAATGATGATCAAGCCTTTTGGGGGATTGCCGTTATGGCCGCAGCAGAAAGAAATTTCTCTAATCCAGAAGATGATTCAAAAGCTTGGTTGACTTTGGCTCAAGCTGTATTTAATACCATGCAAGCTAGATGGGATGAAGAGGATTGTAATGGTGGTTTAAGATGGCAAATTTTCCAATGGAATTCTGGTTATGATTATAAAAACTCTGTGTCAAATGGTTGTTTATTCCATTTGGCTGCAAGATTGGCAAGATACACCGGTAATGATTCTTATGTTGTTTGGGCTGAAAGAGTTTGGGATTGGATGTATGGTGTCGGATTATTGACAGAAGGTAATTGGTGGTTTGTTTATGATGGTGTCAAAATTTACAACAATTGTTCTAATATCACCAAATATCAATGGACTTATAATCAAGGGTTGATGTTGGCTGGTTGTGCTTATTTGTACAATTATACTGAAGAAGAAAAATGGTATAACTATACAATTAAATTATTAGAAAGTTCTCAGGTGTTCTTTATGAACATAACGGGTAGTATGGTTATGTATGAAGCTGCTTGTCAACCTTCAGGAACTTGTAATAATGATCAAAGATCTTTCAAGGCTTATTTCTCGAGATTTTTGGGATTGACATCGGTGTTGGTCCCACAAACAGAACCAGTGATTAGAAAATGGTTAGTTGATTCAGCAAATGCTGCTGCTGGTTCATGTAGTGGTGGTTCTGATGGTGTCACTTGTGGTTTAAGTTGGACTAACTGGTCACAAGGTTGGGATGGTAAATGGGGTTTAGGTGAACAAATGTCGGCATTAGAAGTTATGCAAAATTTGATGTCGAATAGTCGTCCTGCTCCATATACTGCTGATACTGGTGGTTCATCCATTGGTAATCCAGCTGCTGGTTATGGTACTCCTATCACTGATGCCAGACCATTGAGCTTAGATAGTGGAGATAAAGCCGGTGCAGGTATTCTTACGGCAGTTATTGGTGCTACCTTGGTTGGTACATGTATTTGGTTAATATTATAAGGTTGATATATATATATATATATATAAATATTCAATATATATTGAAGTAAGATTATGTATCATTGTTTGTATACGTTTGATGGGATAATGTACCAGTACACGACTTTGTTGTTGAGGTGACAATTGAATGATAAGAAACTTTTTCTTGTACGGGTTTCCCTCTTTCCCACTCAGCCATAGAATCAGACACAGAAGAAAAAAAAAAAAAAAAAAACAACAGTGAGAATGTGTAATTTGATGATAACTTTTAATCCCCTTTCGCCTTCCATTAATTTTTAAATTGATATTATTATTTGCAGATCTTAGATAATTCACAGTAGTAGTAGTAGTAGTATTAACCATGAGTTCAGATGATCAATTCACATCAATTCAATGGGATAGAGAAGACATAGATAAAGATAACAACAAAGAAGAACATGATAGTACAGAAATCAGTAACAACAACAATAAGAGTAGCATAAATCCTATAGCTGAGGAGGGATCTTTGGAATCCGAACAACAATCAGAAAATAAAGAACCAACAGTTGGAACAAATGAAACTCAAGAACTTAAAGATGATAAGGACAATTCTGAAGTTGATGATCAAGTAATTGATAAATTGGAGTCAACACATTTAAGTGACGAAACTAAGGATAAAAGAAATGAATCCTACGAAAGTAACAACAGCAATAGTAGTAATAATAGTGGATCTACTGACCAACCAAGTGATTCATTATTATTATCTCCTCCAAATCAAGAATCTAAATCTCCAAAGGAATCATCATCTAGAAATGACGAGGCGGGACCAATTGGTTCACCAAAACCGTCGTCAAGTAATGACAAACATTCAAGTGAACCTCCTCAATTAGAACAAGAACACCAGCCAAAACAACAAGTAGTAAGAGAAGAAGAAGAGGAAGAATTAATTGAGACACCAAAAGGTTATGTTGATATATCTTATTTTGAAAAATATGCCATTAAAACTTCAGTTACTCATCCTAACCGTGATCTAGATGCAGCATCAAAGCCATTCATTTCCTATTTAGTCACTACAACTACGAATAATCCATCGATTTTAAAACTAACCAAAGACAAAAAACCAAAAGATGGTGAAGAATATTTGAGTTTCAGTGTACGTAGAAGATATGGTGATTTCAGATATTTGTATGAGAGTTTAAGTAATGATTTCCCTACTGTGATGATACCTCCACTACCTTCAAAACTGAACTTCAAGTATTTAACGGGTGATACTTTTAGCTCAGAGTTTGTTCATAAAAGATTACATTCTTTAGACAGATTTGTTCGTTTCATTTTGCAACACAAGATATTGTCTCAACTGTCGATCTTTCACTTGTTTATAAGTGATTCAAATGATTGGGCTACATTTACATCCTCATTAAAAATCAAAGACTCTGGAGATGATTCTGGATTTGTTGGTAAAGTTGTCAATGAGGATTTGATCACGGAAACAGTGATGAATTTTTTGACTCCATCCAAGCATAAAAAGGAAACAAATAGAGATATTTTGGAAATTAATGATAAATTAAAGAAATTATATGAGAATTTGCTTAAATTAGATAAGATATTTTCCAAATTGAATAAGAAAAATCATGAGTTGAGTGTTGATTATGAACTATTCCTGAATCAAATTGTTAAATTGTCCACTAGAGAAGATGAAGATGCGATTGATTCTAATTACAAAATATTTGCTCAATGTTTATCTGAGTTTTCGAAGAATTGGGATTCATTATACCGTTTCTATAATGAGACATTTATTGTTACCTTGAAAGATAGTGGGAAATATATCATGAGTTTGACAAATTTAATTCAAATCCAACACAACAAACAAATTGACTTGCAAGTGTTGCATGATTATTTAAATAAGACAAAGGCAGAATTATTAAGTCTTGGTGGAAATATCAACCAAGGCGCTCCACCATCACCACATCCGCATAATCAATCAAGTGGAGGAATTGTCAACAACACTACCCAATTAATTAAAGATACTTTGTCAACATCTGCTACTCCTCATATTGGATCTAGTTCAAGTGATAGCAAAATTCAAAAATTAGAAAATAAAATTCAAGAACTTAATAAAGAAATTAGAAAAGAAAGCGAATTATTGACTGAATTGATTAATCAAATTGTAATTGAGTTTGGTAATTTACAAAATTTCATCAAACTGGAATTAAAAAATTCCATGATTGCCTTGTGTGATCAAAATATTTCATTTTATCAACAGTTGCTTCAAAAATACGAAGAGCTGGAAATGAAATTAATGAAAAGATTAGATGAAAATAATTAAAATAATAATGATTGAATGGTTTAAGATTTTTTTTATTATTATTATTATTATTTTATAATTAGTTTGTCTTTATTACATTACTCTCTATGTTATTAAATAAATGATTCAAAATTAGAAAAGAGTAGAATTAATATTCTACATCAGTTATAATTATTACATAAATGACACCTTTTTTTTTAATTGTTGTCACCATATATATATATAAACCTTTATAAAGGAAGAAAAACTAAAAAAAAAATCCAATCATTAAGCATGTCTACATTAGTTACTATTCTTTATGCTTATCATCTTTCAATCTAGTATCTTTTCCATGATCAATTTCATCATCTTCATCTTCACCTAATTCAAATAATGTATTACTACTTTGAGCTTCACGAGGTTCATGAATACTTAAGTCATCATAATTTGGAGGTTGAGTAGAATCTTTTTTATTTGAAGGAAGTTGTTGATCATGTGGTAATTCAAAACTATCTCTTTCGACATTTCTTTGTCTATTATTATCTTCATCGTCACTATGACTCATTAATGATAAATCATCCAATTCAAATTCATGACCACCTTGATATCCACCTGGATTTTCTGGATCATTATCAACTACATCATCTCCACCTGATAATTGTTGAGAAATAGCCAACATATAACTTGTTTCTGTAGGTCTCCATAACCAAGCAATTGCCATAAACACAAAGAAAAATACCACACTTGGCCAGAAATCATAAATGAAAAAAGATCCTTTCCAATGTTGCTCAAACATTTCTGTTGATGACATACTCAAATAAACAAATGAAGATAATGAAAGTCCAAAAAATGTTAGTATGACAGCAGCAAAAATAATTCTAAACAAGTTTTGATACAAGTTCAATTTAATGATTTGACGTTGTTTATGCAAATTCTCGGTGGTTTTTCTAATTGATGCCAAAATCAATACATAGTATGCTGATAATATAATAGCAATTGGAATAATTGGCAATAATCCCAAGAAACTGCCACTTGCAGCTGTTTCAATGCCATCAGTTGAAACCAATGAATTGGAACTACCATCAAAATAGTTGAAAAACAAATAAATAAAAGATGCAACAAAATTACATGCAGCCAAAATCTTACAACCAAACATAACTTTCTTATCTAATTTTAATTTAACAACACCATAACCAAGGGCAATACATAATAATAAAAAGAATGAGAATGTGATTTTGGCAGCATTCAAAATTGAAAGGAAAACCATATAGAATCTAGCAAATGCATCACTTGGAGATTTGATTCTATTGACTAAATCATAATAAGACCATACTACCAAAGTATCAAAGGTTAAAAATCCCAACATTGCCAACAAGTATCTCTGTAATGGCAAAATTTGATTCTGCTTTCTCTTTTTAAAGAATTGAAATCCAAATAATGCTAAAGTAATAGCATAACATAAAGTCAATATACCATAAGCTGGTAACTTCGGTATTTCACTGGCACTTAATTGACCAAATGCGTTTTGGAAATTGACTTCCCCTTTATATTTAGTATCTTTAAACAGCGAAAATGTTGACACACAATAATAACCCGTCACATTAATTGGATAATTAATATCAGCTGGACCCAAATGAGTTAACTGGGAAGTTAAAATAGTAGTATTTGTCACATTTTTATTAACGATGAATTTCCCCTTATGACTTTCATCACAGACTTGTAAATCATTAATGGCATGATCATCACAAATGAATTTATATCTACCATTACCTAAATCTGCACCAATATTAACCAAGTCCTTGTATTCAAAAATTATATAACTAACAGAAATATCATCATCTACTTTTTGATCTTTATTTTTTGGATTGTATTTATTATCTTTGAATTTAGTTAATGATAATCCAATATGGGGTTTAATTGAACCGCCCCAATCATGTTTTGAATACATTCCGGAACAAACTTGTGATAATCTATCATCATCAAAATTAGCTAGATTAGCCAATACCGTGGTGAGATAAACAAATAATGGTATTATCCCAATGAATTGCATTCTATGTGGTTTTGTAGTTGTAGTTATCACCAATGGTAGTAAATCAAAAAAGAAAAGGATCCTGGATAGTTATTTTTTTTTCTTTTTTGTTTGTTCTTTTCGCCTGTTGAATTTTTCGTCCGGTGTTGATGTAGTTTTCCGAACGTGACTAAAGTAGAGAGTTATTTTTTTTTTTCTTCCTTCATAGCCGAGAAAGAGACTGAGGTAAAGAAAAGTTTAATGCGAATTACATTTAATTCCGCGCCAACGAGGGGAGGGACATAAATTTTCTCACCGATGCAACAGACATTGGTTCATGCCAAAGGATCATTCAACATTTAATAATATGTAAAATATCTTGTTGATTGACCAAGAGTTATTGTTTAGATGTATACTCTGAAGAAGCTGTAGATTCCAGCTAGGCTACTAAACATATAGAGTTATCGAATAATATGGCTAGCAGTTCAAGTGTTAATGTGAAGTTGTTTCTAGAAAAGTTTGAAATATGCACAATCTTTAAATGGATTACAAGAATAAATACACATTTCAGTTTTGATTACCTTCTTGTGCTCATTTCTACAAAGCAAAGTAATAATTCTAACAATTTATTAATATATATATTATAAACAAAAGTAAGATGTAATTCAAAACAATTTATAGCCAGGAAATTTTAATCAGAAGACATCCATGATATGAAAAATTAAAATCAGTAGGATTCCGACTAACCCATGGATTTTGGTCTCATTCAGCTCGCAATATTTCATAGTACAATACAAGGTAAACCCCAATTGGCTGTAGAACAATAATGAACTAAGATTGACTAAATCTTTAAGGTGTTTGGCGATTTTATATCTAGTTTGGAATTCTTCCAAGACATCACGAAACACATTTCTGGTTTCTTCAGCAGATTTAGTTTGATTAGAAGTTTCCAATTTATTGTTGATTTCCCTAATTTGAACAATGATTTCCCTAATTTGAACACTGAGTTTCTTAATTTCTTCACAAATATTTTGAAATTCTAAATCAGTTTCTTCATTATTTTTTTGAATAGCCTCTTGTGATGTTTCAATATTTTCCAATTGAATTTGGTCGTTCTGGTATGACTGGTGGTATAGAGGTGATTCCATTATGTTTGGTGTAATATGATGTGGTAAAATAAATAAAAAAAAAAGGAAAAAAGAAAGTAATAGACAACAGGAATTTTAAAATCTAAAATTTGAATTGGTTGTCTGAACGTATTTTTAGAGAAACTTATTTCTTTTTTTTTGTAGTTTTGCAACCAAGAAAGTCGTGCACGGTGGCGAGATAGTGTAGTTTCGTTATTTCCTCCCACTTTCGTTACCATATCAAAGCTTGATTCATGGTGCCTCTTTAATATGCAATATTTAGATTCCATCAGTCCAACAAATCTGTGTTAATATATTTATTGATGATTCTACTTATCGGTTCATATTCATTACTTTTGCAATAAAAATGGCGTTATTCAGGCAATCAAAAAACATAGGACATTTCTAAGCAAAACCCAAAAGATTCTTTTCAATTATTGATGGCTAAAAGCTAATAGCTAAATCTTTTTTTTTTACCATTACTCTGTCTACTCACTTAGTAGTGTAAGTAACATAAAAAGTAAAGAAGCTAATACTGGCTTGTAAATAGTCAATAAATAGACAGTTGGTACTATAAGGTAAAATAAAAAGAATAACATGTTTTAATTAAACCCATTAGTATTATGAATATTTTTCACATTAATCATTAATAGTAAGAAAATCACTAACGAGTGAACAGTGGAGGTGTTGTCGGTAGTCCAACTTTCTCCAAACAATTTTATTTCCAGGGCTGTCTTCCTTCGGTAGTATCCAAGAATTCGTCAGCTTAAAACGTACCGAGATTTTATCTTCAGTTTGATTGTCATCCTTTTCATAATCAGAAAAAACCTTGGTAAGTTTCCAATTGACATATGCTATTCCTTGTTCTTTAATAGGTTCTTTGAAATTATTTCCAGCATAAACAGAAAATTGGTCCATGAAACGAATGTCTGTAAAATACACTCGAATAATGTCTCCTCCTAGGCTCCAAAACGAAAATACACAAGCAATGTTCCAAAAATATGATATAGCTAAGAATTCAAGATCTTGGATCCTTGAACCCATTCGTGATTTGAGATTTTCATAAGACCTCAGAGTACTCTTGGGGCCACCTATTATCATGAAATGTTGATTAGTTACAGTCTCCATAGTACGCATGTTCCCTTGATACCCAGGATTCTTAAACCATCTCCATTCATCCATGTGGTCCACAATTCCTAACACAGTTAATACAATCATTTTCATAATTTCGTCTGGAAAAAAGTAACTCTGTATGGGCACAGCTTCTATAGCACTCTTTATTATTATTGGTGATGAATTAGTTTCTGCTTTAACTTGTTTTTGAAGCAGCCAACTGCGACTGAAAATACCCATATTTTGAAAGATTGTAGCCATACAAAAGAAGTCATATTGACTCTGAATACCTAATTTTTTTACTGTAGCACAATTTTATGATCTTTTATAGAAGATTATTTTGTTGTAGTTTCCTTGTGCACCAGAATTACTCTTCTTGCCTTTATTTGATGCCTATTCTGAGAAACCATAGCTACCAATTATATTTTCAAAAAAAAAATATTTTGTTAAGTTCTTACAATAAGAATTGGTACCGAAAGTTTCATAATTTCTACTATCCAAGGATAGATATAATGCATGTATGTTCACCAGAATACAGAATACTCTTGTTAGGTGACCTAATAGGGTAAAGCTTTAGACTTAGAAAACCAACTAGAGCAACAACCTACATATTCTTACAGAAAACTTTGTTAATTATAGGAAACCCCAAACCAATCAATTCATATAAAAAGAGATAAAAGTGTTCTTCTTTATACACTGGGATTCTAGATCATTAGTTTACTCTACCAAAACCTACACACTTGAAAACTCCCAAATTAAATGACAACTATCAAGAAGTACTCAAGAAAAAGGAAGATTCCAGTTCGGAATTAAGCTTTATGGTTGATGAGAAAACAATATGTGAACCAAATCCCATTCTAATTACGAATACAGGTTTTAATCGTCGTATTCATAATTGGAGACTTTTCATTCATTATATTTTTAAAACAGTTGTTGAATTGAAACAAGATCTTGGCGTTTGGAAATAATTCAAGATTCCAAACTACAATGGAAGACAGGAAGTTGAGGCTTTGGTACAAGCTGAAAATTTTACAATATATGGTGGACCACAATATACACAAGATATATATGATGATTTAAAGAATCATGTTTGTGAACGAATCCTGGAACTTCAATTTATATTAATTTCAAAATTTCAACATATAGAGTTGGTGACTTTCTTTGGGACTTGGTCCAGTCTCAGAGGTTCGTGTATTTGATGTCTTGAAAACGGATCTATATAAGTTCTACTTATTTGCTGCTGGAAATTTTAATCTAATGAACTCCTGTAATTATAAAGCCATTGTTACATGGGAATTTTGCACACATTTCCCTAACTACAAGGAATTGATCTATGATAAAAGTGAACCAAAAAAGGACATTTAAGTATATGGGTAGGAATAATTAGAAATAATAATAATAATAATAAAAAAGAAAATGCTGTTATACATTGCTAAACATGTAGTGGAATACTATGTCATCCGATTACGTGTGGGACAATTTATGGCAAAAAAATAAATGCAGCTTCTGTGGCTCGAACACAGTACCTCCAGATTACTAAAGAATCTTCAGTCTGACGCTCTCCCAGATGAGCTAAAGCTGCTGTTATTGGAATAAGTGAAGCTCCTCGGAACTCCACACTTGCAGTATGGTTTTAACACACAAATTAAAAAGTTTGTGAATTCAGTGACTGGAACTCTTGATGAACCTACACTGACAATTCAAAAGAGACACCTCCACCAAGCAAATAAACTCGCAGTAGTCACGCTGGGCTACAAAAAAGTAGATTGTGTTTGGTGAGAAAAAAAAAGAAACCCTACCTGGGACTCGAACCCAGAATCCTTTGATTAGAAGTCAAAAGCGATAACCAATTTCGCCAGCAGGGCAATCTTCAGACAACTGTACCAACTGTACTGATCTGTTGTGTCAACAAAATTGGCACATACTCACACCCAGTTAGTATGCGAGAGTAAACATTAGAATTGTCGCTAATGAATATGAAACTTCCTAGTATTCTGTGGAGAGATTTCAGTGAGGATCATAGCATGTTGTTAGATTGTCCTACAATGATTTATATCTATAATGCTATATTTTATAAGAATGACCAACTTCCGTTTTTTTACTAGAAGTTTGCAACATATTTTTACTAAAAAGAAAATTACTATAAAATCATTGAATGATTTTATAATTCTCGAATATCCATAGTAGACAATTTTTTAATAAGAGTAACTACTACTAAGCAAATTGTTTATCATATCATCACCTATTATTCCTGGACCCTTGTTGCATCTAAAACTTCACTACGTAACCAACCATCATAGCATTACACAGTATTGGCGTATATTTTCATTAATCTCAAAACCAATAACTTGATATTTCATGCGGGCCACGATTATTTTTTTGTTTGTGGAACCGCCCTTTCGAATACCTTTGTTTGCACCACCACTCGTGTAACTCTTCTCATTTTTTTTTGAGCGTATTCCGGGTAATTCAAATAAAAATTCAAATTTCGACGCACAGACCCAAACACACTTAAAACAAATATAGAAGAGATTCAACTAAAATACCTCATAAACTACTTCCCTAATACTAAAGCTACATAGAATGGCAAATTGAACAAAGTAGAGGATGCGAAGTGGTGGCGTGTGTAATAAAGATGGTAATGTGTAATACAAATTTTTGTGGCAGCCGCGACACGCCTAGTGAGATTTTTCTTCCCATTAGAATGGTTCGTCCTGTGTAAAATTTACGGCGTGGATTGTAACGATGCCAGAGGAGAAAATTTTTTTTTTCTTCGTCCTCTTTAATACTGGCAGGTAGTTTTCAGTTTAGTATTACAGTATAAGGTCGGCCCCTTTATTGAGAGAATCATAGTTTACAGAAGAGGACAAACAAAAAAATAAAACAAGTTCAAAAATTTTTTTTTAATAAAAAAAAAGAAAAAAAAGAAACATTCTGTTCCCATTGATTCTTTTTTTTCCCAGTAAACAAATAGTCTTATATTACAAACTACATCTTTAGATATAGTTTTCCTTGTTGTGTATTGTTTACGGTTGAATAAATCTCATATTTAAAAGAATACATATATTAGATGAACTCATTCACTCAAACAGTGGCGGCAGCCGTCCCACAAGCACCATTAACAGCCGGTATTATGCATAACAACGATACAAGCAATAACCTCATCAACAGCAACAAGAATAATAATAACAACAACAACAAGAATATTCCAAGCGCACAAGGTATGATCACTCCAGTTTCTTCAGATATCGATGCCACAAACGATACACCACAGAATGCAATGGATTTTATTAGAAATTATCGTCCTGACCCTAAACTAGAAGAATTATACAGAGATTTTATTCGCACACAAGGTATAGAGGCCTTTCTACGAACCAAAATCAACAAATCTATGTCAAAGAAGGAAATTAGTGTATTAATCATGAATCTAGGGTACCCTAAAAAGGCACTTGAAGATTACAATATCTTGACTTTGAAAGAACTTGCAAAGTTGTTATTAAAATTAATTTTAGAAGACAAAACATTAAGACCGGACCATGAGAATAATCTTGAGGGTGAGAATGATGATGACGATGATGATGACGTAGATGATGACGGAGATTCCTCCATGTCGGAATCTGAAACTTCTTATGAAAAAGAAACTGAAAGACGTCCTGGATCTTTCAAACAGCCTTTAGTGCCACCATTTAAATATCTTTTACCAGATTTCATTACTGGGTTGACCATGGCAAAGAAAATCGTGGTTATTACTGGTGCAGGTATATCTACCTCTTTGGGGATTCCAGATTTCCGTTCATTCCAAGGTTTGTATACACAATTATCCAAGTTACAATTAAGTGATCCTCAAAAAGTGTTTGATATGGAAACATTCAAGAAAGATCCACTGTTGTTTTATACAATTGCTCATATGGTTTTACCTCCTGAAGGTAAGTTTGCGTTATTCCACTCTTTCCTTAAATTGCTTGAAGATAAAAACAAATTACTCAGAAATTACACGCAAAATATAGATAACTTGGAACAACGTGCTGGGATTAGTCCTGAGAAATTAATTCAATGTCATGGTAGTTTCTCTCATGCTAAGTGTATCACCTGTGGTGCAATATTCAAAGGAGAAAAGATTTTTAATCATATTAAGAAATTACAAGTGCCAAGATGTTCTAAATGTTGGGAAGATGTTCAAGAAGCTGAATTAATTTATGGGGTTATTAAACCTACTATTACCTTCTTTGGTGAGGATTTACCAGAAAGATTTCACCGTCTTCATTCAAAGGATTTGAAAAATGCAGATATGGTTATTGTTAGTGGTACATCACTTAATGTCAACCCTGTAGCTGGTCTTGTGGAAAAAGTCCCTAGCCATGTTCCAAAAATTCTTATTAATAAAGACCAGATCGATGATATGGGATCATTATTTAATCTTAGATTAATTGGTTTATGTGATGAAGTGGTTGCATGGATTTCAAAGTGTCTTGGTCTGGATTGGAATATTCCTCATGCAGATTATGATCCAAATGGTAGCTTTAGGGTGCAAACGTTGAATGCCAACACATATGAGATAAAAAAAGTGTAAATAGATCCGTATACTTGTATCTCAATAACATAATTATTAATGCACAGTATTGATATTTAATTTTTGAATATTTAATATATATTAATGCACCGTAACTTTTATTTTAAAAACTATAAACATCTTTTTTTCTTCTTCTTCCTCTTCTTCCTCTTTCTTTTTAAGATTATCATCTTAAAACAATATTACCATTCATTTATACAAATTTCTGGGAATTCGACTTCTTCTTGGTTTCTATTACCACCTCTGAAGTTATACTTACAACCATATTTCTTGACAGGGAACCACCAGTACCCAAGCATCAAGACAATGTATCCAGCTAACACAGCACAAAAATAGTTGGTATTTTGAGCAGTAGCAGGATAAGTAGCTGGAAAACTAAAGAAAACCAATGCGAAAACGGTCCAAACCAACAACATGATGTTGCAAAAAGTACCAATCTTGCCCAACCAAAAAGGACCATGACGAATTTGTCTTTTTCTCACAAGAAGACAGATAGTTGGAACCAGATAAGCGATAAGCAAAAACCCGATACAACATAAAGCAGTTGCTTGAAGGGCAGCATCAGAGAAGACTAATGGAGACAAACAGGTAACTATGACAGTACAGAAAATGTGAGCATATAATGGACCACCAGTTTTTGGATCAATGATGGCTAAATATTTGGACCATGGCATACCATTATCTCTAGAGAACGAGAAAGCAATACGTGCTTGGAAAGTTTGACATGCAATAGTACAACCACTGGCAGTACAGAAAATAAGAGCTCCAAGACAAAGAGCACCTGCTTTATTTCTTAATGCTTGGTAGAAAATATCCAAAATTGGAAGACCAGTGGTTGAGTTCATAACTTGTTCCAAATCATTGATACAGAAAAACATGGCAATAACAAAAGTGAATGATGTAACAAACCCAATAGCAACCGTTGACAAGACAGCTTTTGGAACATCTCTTTCTGGTTGTGGAGTTTCTTCACTCAAATGAGTAACACTATCTAAACAAGAAAATGCCCAAGCAGGGTTAACCAAACCAATAATGAATGCAATCCCTTTAGATGGCCAGCCAGTATTGTTAACTGCATCAACAAACACAAACTTGGCGTCTTGGTAACGGCCCTTAGAACATGCCAAGACAGTAACGATAATAATACAATATGAAGTAATGGAGATACCAAAAATACTGTCACCAATAACTGGTAAAAATCTGTGCCAAATATTAAACAAGAAAAGGAACCAATTGATAATATTGAAAATGACAAAAACCTCCCACTTTTGATTTACGTGATCTGGATGTGTCAAGTTCCAAAAACCTAATAATTGATAAGCCAACGCAAGATTCATGGAGACAGTTGTAAAGACAGCACCACTCCAAGAGATAGAACCAGTGATATAAGCCCAAAATGAAGCATACTTTCTTGGTGCCAACACTCTTGCCCAAACATATTGTCCACCAGCTGAAGGCATCGCCAGTGCTAATTCACCAAGAGTAACTGCAATACACACGGAGACAGATGCAACGATTAAGATACCATACACCACTAACATAGGACCAAGAGACGAAATCGACAAGATAAGAGTAGACAGAATACCCAACCAAGAATTTGTAAGACCAAAACCAATTGTGATGATTTGTAAAGTCAGAAAGTTTCTACTCATATGTGCTGGTTCATCTTTGGAGACCGATTTTGAATCAGTCAGGTAATCTGCCAATCTCTTGTCATCTGTAGAAAATGAAAGTTGGGGACTGACAGTTGCCGGTTGTTTTTCGTCGATATCAGCCATGATTTAGGGGGGGAGGAAAATAAATAATTTAAAATGAACGAAAGTGACAAGTAAATGAAGCTATGCAATGACTATTTTGAAAAACAAAAAATGAATAAATCAAACAATAAGTGAAATCAAAAATAAAATAAAAAAAAAAAAACGAACTTTATATTGGGAAATCAAGTTCAATTTTATAACAATAACAACGTATGAAAAGACTTGAAATTAACAATGAAAAAAAGTCAAGTACTCGTGATAGAAGGTGAGCGTGCGAAAGAGCCCAAAAAAATAAAAAATAAAAAAAGCAATTCAAAATGATAAGGTCGTGTGATTGCGGTAGTATTATTTAAAGTTTAACAATAGAGACTAATAAATTACACGGCAACTGTGTGTGCCTCGCCGAAGTCAATTTAGTTTAAGTCCCCATCTATTGGTCAATGATTATATCAATAAGAGGGTTGGTTTTAAACTAAACTAGCATAGACAGTGTAGATAATGCATGGCTATCTTTTTTGTCATTTGTAAATATCCTTTCCTCCACCTTATAAGCAAGATCGCAGATATCATTTAGAGGATCCTTGCAAATGTGTAATGAATATTTACTACGATAATTGTCCGGTCCGCTATTTCTTTACCTGGATCATGATTCAAAAAAAAATAATATAAGGCAAAATGAATAACAGTTATATTATTTAAACAATAAAAACCTCATTGACAATCAATATCTATTTTGATAAATCTATAATCTCAGTCTCTCGTAAAATTTATAATTGTTTTTTTTTTTTAATCGTGCGCATGAAATATAATTTGCATGTGATAATTTATTTTTTCAAAGTTTGTTGGGTAGAAAGCGCGACTGCCATTGAGAATGTTGCAATAGACGTCATCATAGCACAAAAGAAGAGATATTTCTCCAGATACAAATCGTAACATGATGGTAGATCTTTCCACAGGTTACATATATTTCATGAGATCTTTTTCATGGAAAGGTGGAGTGGAGGTCCTGCGATGTCTAAGGGTAATATCGATGAGCTAATGATCGAGATTACTGAAATATTTGAAACATGCGTCTGGTACTTGCCAATAACATGCACAACAGAAGAATATGTAAAATAGAACTTTGTATGAAGAATATACATAATTGGAGAAGATCCAGATAATATAATGAACGTGAAACCATGTGTAGTTGTCGATCAGAGACAATCAGATGTGATTTGCAACAAACATCAGGTTAGTAATAAAGATAAACATAGTTTTCTAATGGGGCGGACTTCACCTGACATGAAATTGGAGGGTTGGCCGAGTTGGTCTAAGGCGGCAGACTTAAGTTGTTTAGCAATTCGAGTTATCTGCTGGTGTGTTCACCGCGCGAGTTCGAATCTCGCATCCTTCACCATTTCTTTATTTTTTTTTGCAATTTTTACAATCTGTAGTTATTTGTTCAGAACATCCAAGATGACCAATGAAACTTCTTTGACGTTCAAACTTCATGGCCTACCTCTAGCAGTGATGAGTGGTAGTTTTTTTTTTAAATAATTTAGATGTGTGGTACATCTTCATGATCATAGACAGTACTTACGAATCTAACCCAATTGTAGTTTCCAGTTAAAATTGCCTTTAAAAATTTTCGATCTTTTCAAAAGCATCATCTACTTTGATGACAACAATTGGATCAACTTAATACTCTTATTACATTTCATTACATCAATAATAAATGCAATAATCATCTTGAATGGCATGTAATTCAACAATTAAGATGAACAGAGAATTGTAGGGTCAATTGTTTTTTGTTCCCATTAATAACTAAAGGCTGTATAAACTACAAAACTATCACGCTAATAACAAATATTTGCACCTCCTGACACCTCTCTTTCATTTCATAAAAATCCAGACAAGTTCTTAAAAGAAGCAATTTTATTCTTTCCATACACACATCGCCTTGATAACTGATTGCATTGAGATACCATCATCTCACTATTACAACTTGGCACAAAAGAGATCAAGAACTGATCCTTTAAAGGCGTGCTAGTTCATATAGCTAACATGAATGATATCCACCAGATTCAGGCACTGTCTAAAGTGATGGAAACTTTTGGACAAAGTATGAAGAAAAGAAAAAGAAGAAGGGAAGAAAAAGTATAAAAGAAAATAGAAAATTTTTTCTTCCTTAAATAGTGATGGTCTTCTCGCGAAACAACAACAAGAAAGAAAATATTTAAAAAAAAAACTAACCTAACCAAAAAGTCGTGCTAACGACAACAAAAAATTGTTATATTTTTCTTTTCGATTTTCGATGTTTCTCTGTTTCTAAGTTCATCGAAATCATAACAAATTTCATCATCTCTGAATCAATCTAGATCCAGGCCAATAAGAAATGTTTGGAAATAAAATATCTTCTTCTGGTACAGGAACCGGATTTTCATTTGGTGGCCAGTCAAATACAAATACTAATACTGCCACTGGACCAACCCAAACTCAGAATCAGTTCCAACAACAACAGCAACAGCAAACTCCTTCAGTTACGATCGGTGCAAATGTTCAATCAACTATAAACCCACCAACTGGTGCGGTTAGCGGTGCTACTACAAATTTGTCACTTCCGGTATCTGTCAATACAACAAAGGGACCCAAGTTGTTGAAAGAATTATTGGAATCTGCTAACAATTTACCAAAAAGTAATGATCATATTCAATTAGGTTCAATTCATCTCACCTTAAATGAGTTGGAAAGAAAAACTCAACAATTAAGAAAACAATCAGATAAGGATGCCAGTTTTACAAAAGCACATTATTTATTGGCAGGAAGTGGTATCAGTGCTGATGATATTGAAGGTGAATTGAACGCCATTCAAATACCTAGAGCTGGTGAGCGTGGAGCACCATTACAACATGCATTTGTTGGTTCCGAAAATATTGAAAACTACTTGAGTGCTAAAAAGGACGAAAACATTTTGAACACCATTGAACAATCGTTGTCATTGGCTTCTAAAGACTTCGACAACTACATCAATGCCAACATTTCAATCGACTGGAAAGTTAGAAGAGATGAATTGAGAAAAGCCGTTGGGTTGAAAACAAATGTAATTCTTGAAGAAGAAACGATCAAGAATTCAATAGTTTGGAAATCAAATTCAACTGCTGCCAACATCTTAACTCCATTAGGCGATTCATCTGTTAGGCAATTGACCAGAGCTAAATTTGAAAACTACGCAAGAGTTATTGATTCATTAAACGGTGCACGTCTTCAAAATGCTCATTTCCCATTGTGTTTGAACTTCAATGAAGTCAACAAGTTGCAGAATGATGTGAAGGGTAAACAAATTGCTGAGATTTGGAAAATATTAGTCATGTTGACTGGTGAAAAATTTGCCAAAACTTCCCAAGAACAGAAATTCTTTAATACACCAAAACCTGAACTCAATGAAACTATTGTGAACAATAGTATAGCTTATTTGCAACAAGAATTTTACAATTATGTGGATGAATTATATCTCAAGGACAACAGCAAGCCTGAAAAATACTCACCTGCCACAAATATCAACAGAGTGTCATACTTTGTTAACCAAGTTGTATTAAAGAATGATCCAGATTTAATTAACAAGACATTATCTGTAAATGGTACTCCAATTTGGGCATTAATCTTTTACCTTCTCCGTGCCGGGTTGTATTCTGATGTTGTTGATTTGGTTTCTCGTAACCGTGAGATATTTACTAAATTTGATAAGAACTTCCCAGTCTACATCAAAAATTATGCCGATAGCAGCAAACATGTATTATCATCAGAATTGAACGAAAGATTACACCAAGAATTTAATCAACAATTCCAGTTTATCATCAACGATGTTGATTCTAGTATTAATTACGACCCTTACAAATATTCTGTTTACAAAATCATCGGTAAATGTGATTTAAGTAACAAGTCGTTGCCACAATCTATCAACTTGAGCATCGAAGAATGGGTATGGTTCCATTTGTCTATCATTAATGCAAACCAACCAGGATCTGAATCCAATTTGGTTTTCGAAAATTATAGTTTACTAGACTTTCAAAGTAAGATTGTTCAATTGGGTCCAAAGAACTTTTTGGTTTCTCCAAATAATCCATTATATCTCAAGACTTTGGTTCTAGCTGGACTTTACGAAATGGCTGTTCAATATGCTTATGAATTTGTTAACGAAGCGGATGCAGTTCATTTGGCTATCGGTTTGGCATACTATGGTTTATTAAAATGTTCTGCTTTCAACAAGGACACTTTATTAACTGTCAATAGCAACGAATATGAAATCAACTACAGTAGATTGGTGGGTTCTTATACTACTACTTTTAAAATCAGTGATCCAAAAGTTGCATGTGAATATCTTATATTGATTGCATTGGCTAATGGTGGTGATTCCAAAGGAGCTCTTCTTGTTTGTCATGAAGCATTGCGTGAATTAATTTTAGTTTCTCGCGAATTTGGTGTTTTACTTGGGCAATTGAATCAAGTCAATGGAACCAAAGCACCTGGTATTTTGGAGTCTCAGAGAAAATTGATCAAGTTAGAGAATATCGACCAATTTTACCAGCAAATAGTTGAGGTTTCTGCTAGTAAATGTGAAGAAGAAGGTAGAATTTTTGATGCATTATTGTTGTATCAATTGTGTTGCGATTACAATACTGTTGTTTCATTAATTAATAAATTGTTGGCAGAAATTCTAGCAACAACGGATTTGAACCAACCAATCATCAAGTTTGGTAACTATGAGGTGATATCTACAGGTTATGCAAGTAAAGATGTTGGCGATACCATTGACAATAATATTATTTTATTGGCTCAACATATTATGAAAATTTTCAGCAACAACAGTCATATTCTTAGTAAGTTATCACCAAAGGTCAAATCCACATGTGATTTATTGCTTCCAATTATCAATATTAGAGAATTATTTATCAAGAAAGATTGGAGTTCAGTTGTCAATGAAATAAACAAGTTAGATCTCATCCCAGCAAATGCTGATGCCGATCTTATCAAGATTAGAGTTATGAGTGAATTGGTGCAAACAAATGATTTGGACGATAATTTGGTGAAAGTAATTCCATCCTTGTTGATCTTAGTTATGACAAGTATTTCACATTTGAATTATGAGATTTTGACCAAAAGATATCAATCATTTGGTAATGAAAAGGATGCTTTGAATCATTGGAAAAAAATCGCTAAGAATTGTATGATATATGCTGGTATGGTGCAATATAAGATGCCTAGAGAAACATACAGTTTATTGATTAATTTAGAATCACTGTTGTAAGAAAGTAAGAAGAACAACAACAACCAAACTATCATGGCAACCAATTCAAAAATTTTACACACAGTGTCGTGCCAGAAAATGATTTATGTGGTTTTGGAACTTAAACACGACATTGCGAAACTCCGTGTTCTGTTTGATTTTATTTCGGTTGTACTATATTTGAATAAGTTTATAAAGGCTTGAATTTCCCCCAAACCTGGGAAAATTCAGTTTATGTAGAATTAGGCAATTTAGAATATAAATCAGTGTTTTATTGTGAATTGAGGTTTTATCCTCTATCCTTATATATTCACTTGTTCTAAGTGAATGCCTCCAGACTATTACTCATCACAAGTGTAATCTTGTGAATGCTGCTTAACATTGTCATTTGTGATATGTTATCTATGGGCATTTACGGTGAATTAATCTAATCATAGGTTTGGTTTCTGCTCAAACAGTAGTTTCAAGAATTGTATGTTTTAAGCGCTATTCAAGACAAGTGACTTTCAAGAGGGAAATGTTTTTCAGTGACACACAGAAAAAAAAATAAGTAGCAACAAAACACTTTTTATAATTTATATAATAGATTCAATACAATACTTCTTTTTTTTTTGTTAAAGAAAACAACTAATATGCCCCCAAAGAAGAAACCTAGTAGTGGTGCTACTGCTACTAGATATACTTTCCCACAAACATTTATCGATCTACCGAAATCCCTTAGCAAAAGTTACTATCAACCTGAACCTGAATCCATAATTGATGATCAAATCATCGTTATTCGAAATTTTTTCACCAAGGAATTATGTAATGAATTGATTAAATCATTTGAAACAAAACTTAGTTTAGAAACCACACCGATTATTAAGAGTAAAGAATATGCAGTTAGATTTAATGATAGAACTTCTATGACAGATTTAATATCTGCAGATATACTTTGGAAATATCTTGAACAAATTTTATTAAATAATCCATATGAAGATGAAGAATTAGGTGAAATAAATGAAATATTTAAAGAAAGCGTTGGATTAAATCCACAATTACGTGTTTATCGATACAAAAAAGGTCATCATTTTAATAAACATTATGATGATTCTGTTGTTTGTCCAATACCTCCAAGTGGAAAAAAAAATGGCCGTACTAAATGGACATTATTAATTTATTTAACCGGTGATGAAGAATTTAAAGGGGGTGGAACAATATTTTATCCTGAAATTCGTAAATGTCCACCTTTGAATATACATCCAAGTAAAGGAATGGCACTTTTACATAAACATGGAGACGATTGTTTGAAACATGAGGCTGAAATTGTTGAAAATGGAGAAAAATGGGTATTACGAAGTGATGTCATATTTCCTATCTAATTTTATTGAAAAATTCAGTCGTTTGTTCCATAATGTTTGTATTGTTATTTATTCTTTGTTTAACCCATTGACTTAGTTTACTTTGTATTCGTGGATATTCAAATCTCTTATCAATTAGATAAATTGTAGAATAATCTTTAATGTGACGAATACTTCTTCCAATACTTTGATTGACCGCTCTCATACATAGATTTTCATAATAATTTCTTGACTTCTCCTTGGCTTGTTGGATAGTACCACCATTTTGCAACACATTAGTTTCAATGAACTTCATCTTGGCTACCATTTCACCAGAGTAAGCGTTTGGGTATGGTAGTCCTACCATCACAACTGCTCTTGCTAGATCATCTGAAAAATTAATACCTTCCGACATTTTACCACCAACCACTGAAAATAATATAGCTCCTTTTCGTTCTGTATTTATCACAGATGCATATTGTCCTAAAGTGAATTCCACTTTAGATGGATCAGAAGGCTCTTGGAAAACCGATTTGTAACATTCAATGGTCGACAAAATTCCATTTTTCCATGACTCTAATACCTGATTTAGATATTTATAACTTGGAAAGAATATAACAAGCCCATAAGGAACGCGTTGACATATTTCAATTATAAATCTCCCTAAAGCGTTCAATTGAACTGGATTATTTCTTTTGTCAAACAGAAACTCAAATTGAAATTCCTTGAATTGCTTAACAGGAAAAACTTCTAAGTTTTCCTTAGGTATAACATGACCACATGTAAATCTATTAATCTTCTCCTTGGATACACTAGGAAATAAATAATCGACATAATCTGACATTGGTTCCATAGTACCACCACATAACAAAACGCATTTTGCTTGATCAACGATTTCTTTGAATACAGCACTGGGATCTAATAACATATAATTAATAGAAATGGAATTATTAGATTTATCCCAGAAAAACTTGCCTTCTTGAGATAAGTTTGTTAAACTTTTAAGAAAATTAATGACCGTAAATAAAAGCGGATTAGAACAGCTTTTGTACTCATTTTCTGTTTTCTCAATATATGATTCAATCTTGTATGCAATTTTAGACTTTGATAAGAACTGATCTAACTTATGAATATTGACCAAATCACCAGTTGAATCTTTAAATATATCTTCTGCTTTGATTTCATCACCAGGTCTTACATCTTGATTGTTATTCAAGAACTTTAACAACAATTGACAAATTTTGATTAGTTTCAATAAATTTATTCTATTCCCACTGTTTAGTTTTTTCAAAAATTTATTAAGGTAAACTTTTAAGGATTTAATGACTTTGTTTAATTGATCTGCTGTGATTTTCAATGAATACATCGAGGTTATAGTATCAATGATATTATGTGCCTCATCAATAATTATAATTGCATCTTTTACATCTAAATTTAGTATCCTTCTCGTAGTATCTTGGAAAATCATTTGGTAAGGTAAAGAAATAATCTCTGTTAATTCAACCCCTCTTCTAACAGAGTAATAAGGACATATTCTTAATTCAGTACCCAACTCTCCTAAATCCTCAATATCTCTAATCTTTGCTAAACTTAAATCGGCAAAATCTTTGGTAACATTCGAAGTCATATAATTCTTTGGAAGAAATTCACATCCATTAGAGTTTCGTTGCAAATCAATGCATGCATCATTCATACTTTGATCATTACCTTTTGATCGGACTTTTTCATTGATACAAAGTTGTTTCCTTGATCCCAATGGTATATATTTTGTTCTTTCATTTAGTTCTTCAAAAGACGCCTCAAAATGAGTGAGTCTTAATTGACTTGAAAACTGATTCAATTGAGAATGTGTACGGGAAGAATAGAATATTTTAATAGGGCATTCATTTATATAATTAACCTCATCTTTATTTTCAAATTTCTTCATTAATTGATCTATTTCCTTGGTGATAGCCTTATTTTGATTTTCTGTATTACCGACTTCGTCTGAATCACTATGATAATCTGTCGGAAGAAAAGATTCGTCAGTTTCTTGTTGTTTCTGTTTCTTCATTCTTCTTCTATCTTCTAATTTCTGATCCTTTCGTACATTTTGATCGTATTCCTTTTCAATCTTATCAAGATACTGTTCATATTCCACAAGTTTGCTTTTTGATCTATTCACAATTGTACTTTGATAAGCTTGTTTTACCCATTCCGGTTCATCGTCACTCTCTTCTTCTTCTTCTTCTTCAACATCACCCTTGTCATGGGACATGGATTCTTGAAAAGTATTGTTTTTCTTATAGTTTCTTAACCAAGTCATAGTGGAACATATTATTGATAATGTTTTACCAGTACCTGTGGGACTTTCAAATAATCCAATCTTGTATCCATCATCGATTGTATGATAAATGGCATCCATTAATTGAACTTGAATATCATAAGGTTCATAAGGATGATTATATTTTTCTCCACATGGTTTAAGAGACATCTGTAAGAAATGGCTCAATTATATATGTTGGTTACCATTAAAGTATACAAGCAAATGATGTGTAGCTCCCAATATTTACGAGCCTTTGTTCCAATCCTTTGATGAGTCTTTTTTTTTCACTGCGCGTATCACACATCTACTCAAAACAAAAATCCATTAAAAAAAAACAACAACAATTCCAATCAATAGTCAAACGACTACTTGGATTCACTATTATCATAAAATCATGTCATTGGCAAAATCCATGAAGATAAACCGTGTGGAATTAGCTGCTAGTCAAAACACACCAGTTGCATGGTCTGATAATTATCAAATATCGTTAAATCTGTATACCAATTTAAAAGTTTTAGAACCAAGATTACCCAATTATTTTCAAACCATAAAAGGTAGGGAAGGGAAAATTATGTTTGAAACAAAGGAAATGTTTTCAGATTCAGATTTATTAAATACTGAGCTGATTGGGTTGTTACCACTTGGTAGATTTAATAAAGTACTTATTGAAGATAATGAAGAAATGTTAAATTTAGTTGCATATGATCCTAATATTGTTTTACAACAATGGACACCTAATTTCGAAAATTCAAAAGACAGTTTGCTTGGATTGTTATTCAATTCGGGAGAATTGTTAGTTTTGGGAAGAAAGAATACACAGAATGCAATGGCTGTCAGAATTAACATGTTTGATATATTGGCAAACAAATATGAAGTTAAAGGAGATACAGAAAATATGTATGTTCGTTCTGAGGTCTACAAGAAATTGAAGATTAAGTATTTCACCTTTAGCATTCATGATGGATCCTTGTTAATGACAATTGTTGATCATAGTAATTCTTTACTTATTTTTACAATCGATCCTATTACGTTTGATACGGAATTGAAACTCGAAAAACAAGTTGCTATAGATATTATAAAGATAATATGGTCAAATAATAGCAAATACTTGACAATAGTTGGATTTGATAACTCGTTGACTGTTTTTGAAATTGCGGATAATTTAGAAAATTCGAAGGAACTTTCAAAAGCTACCAGATTCAAAAACCATCGAAATGAGTACGTGGAATATGATGGTAAAACATATTTAGTGTCCACTTTCACGGGGAAAATTTTCATTTATGAATTGGAACTGTTGGCTTTTAAGGAAAGTAATACCGATAACTATTCAACCCCAACGTCAATTGTTTCTGGTGTACTCAATGGAATACTAACATTGATAGTTCCTTTCGATTCGGGTGATATCATATCTTTAAAACATAACCTCATTACGGGAGAAACAGCCAGAGTTGCATTGGATAAAACCCTTAATGCATTTATCACCAAATCGATGTATGCATTCCAATCTAATTCCAATGAAGAATCTGAAAATGTTGAGCCATGGTTCAGAATATTTGCTCTTCATGCTTTACCCAATGATATTATAGGTATGGCATATAAGATAACTCAAAGGGATACAATTAATTACAAAACACCTGGATTTATGGATGTAAGACTTCAGTTTTTAAAATTGAGTGAACCGATAGGTAGTGGTAACAAAGTGAAGAACACATCGTCTGTGGCAAAAGTTGTTGAACTCTGTTTATCCAATTATCAGAATCTTCCTGTTTTTTCAAACGATCTTAGTTTATTGAGAAAGGAAAGAAGTAACCGTTTTATTGAGCAAATGAAAACATATGCAGAAGAGCAATTGGTGGCTATACAACTAGGTACCGATATAGAGCCATTGGGAGATTTCAAGTCTACTTTACAGCTGAAGTTTATTCAGAATCCTCGTGTCATTGAAGCTCAATATCGTTTTGTCTTAGCAAAGTTGTTACAAAGTCCATTATACCAGATTGTACGTGATAATCCTGATGAGATTGAACCTATTATCAAAAAAATCGATGATTACAAACAATCCATTGAGAATTCAATCGTTGTCTATTTGAGAAAATTGATATTACGATTTTATGATGGGAAAACAGTTGAGGATGAAGTTGATAAGTTTTGCTTGATTACAATGTACAACCAACTTAGGAAATTAAATTCAGAACTTAATGTGCAAATCCCAGAGAAAGCTGAAGTGACAATCAATGCCAAATACTATTCAGAAACATTCAAGGTGGGAACTGATGATACAATTCGTGAGAAATCAACAATACTGTCGACACTGGGTCATGGATGGATGCAATGCCAATTGACCAATATACCTTTACTAGCAATGAATAATAAAACCGATGAATTGGCTTTATTTAGATACATAATTCCAGATGAAAAAATGGGTAAGATTACTAAAGAATTATTAGAGATGATAGATTTTTGTTATATTACAGGAAATAGAATCTATCCCTTGAAATGAATTTACAAAATATCAGATAAACTATTTGTTTCCCTTTTTTTTTATATATATTACTGTAGCTGTAGAATTGACAAGACAAGAATACAAGTCATCGTTTACACGGAACCAAAGTATGAAAACCGCGCGGAAGAAATTTTTTTAAAGGATTGACATGTCACAACTGATGCTGCTTTTAAACCCCTACCTTGAAATTTAGAGCATCTAATGAAACAAAAACTTGGGAAACGCCCTATGGTTGTACACTTGTTTTGAAGTTTGTCTAAAAATTTTGTATATTTCGTGACGTGACTAACGAATGTTTGTGTTTAGTGTAACAAATAAGTTGGGGAATCTGTTGTTTCATTTAGTTTTGTTCCATCATCGTAAGGCAAAATGACTAAGCGAAGTCATTTTCCCGAGTCTAACAAACTCATTTTGACTTTGTTTTTTGCAACCGATCTGCAAAGAAGTCAGATTTAGCCACCGGGGTTGTTCTTCCGGTGGAGTTTTCTTTTTTTTTTTTTATCTTCTAAGCCAAAACCTGCGGTACACAGTTTCCTGAATTAACCTCTTCTGGTTACTTGCGGTACAAATTCTGTATCTAAAAGTGAAAGTGTGGTGATTAGTACATTGTGTAGTTTATTAATTCCTAACATTCAAGAGGATCAAAAAGAAAAAAGAAAAATTGTTTCTCTTCTCCTCTCCCTCTCTAACTCATAGACACAGGTTAGGGCCGATGAGGATGAGATCTGTAGATTTATATATAAAAGTTCAATTCAACTGAGTTAAAAATTTATTAAATTAATTAATTTATTTATTTATTTTAATTTATAATTATTCTTTTTCTTTTTCTTTGTCTTGCAGCATTTTGACTTCAACATGTCTAGTACAACTACTTCAGTAAATTTGCAACCATCCGCAAAATTAGCTCAACCATATATTCAAACTTCATTATCTGAAGTAACAGATATTTTACCTATAAAACCACCATGTCGTGTTTTTTTCAAGAATGAATTAGAACAACCATCTGGCAGTTTTAAATTAAGAGGAATTGGTCATTTGGTTCAAAAATCAATTGAGAATGCAATTACTAATCATCCAAATAAAAAAATCCATGTTTTTGCTTCAAGTGGTGGTAATGCTGGTTTAGCAGCTGCTTATCTGGCTTATTTCTATAAGGTTAAATGTACTGTTGTTTTACCAGTTATTTCCAAATTGGTGGTTCAAGAAAAATTGAAAAGTTATGGAGCTGAAATCATTTTATTTGGAAATACCATTAATGAAGCTGATAAACATTTAAGAAATCTTATGAATTCAATTGATTTGAATTCAATTCATCCAGTATATTGCCATCCATTTAACAATCCTTTGATTTGGCAAGGACATGCATCATTAGTTGATGAAGTTTGTCAGCAATTACCAAAAGAAGAATTGTCTTCTTTGAAAGGAATGGTATGCTCTGTTGGTGGTGGTGGTTTATATAATGGTATTTACCAAGGTATGAAAAACAACAAGGTTAGTGGAGAAGTTTTATTAATTGAAACTAAACAAGCTCCAACATTAAGTGAAAGTTTACAAGCTGGTGATGTCATTACATTAAAATCTGTTAATTCCATGGCAACATCATTAGCTTGTTCTTATACCACTAAACAAACATTAGAATATTATCAAGACAAATCCACAATTGAATCCAAGCTTGAAGTCATTGATGACATTGATGCATTAAGAGCTTGTCTCGCTTTCAACAAGTGTTGTAAAAAAACTGTGGAACCTGCTTGTGGTGCTGCTTTATCTGTTGCCTACAATAGAATTGATTTATTGTACAAGAATTTCAGTCACTTACAACCAAGTGACATTGTGGTAGTTGTTGCTTGTGGTGGTTCATGTACTACTGATGCTGACCTTACTACTTTCCCACAAATCATCAGAAAAGCCGAAACCAAATTATAGAGGAATATTTCTGTGTGTATTATTAATTTATTCATGATAGTTAGATGATTCAAGATGTAAGACTGCTCTATTTATGATTAACTAACAAAACCCACTAATCTTTGACAGTTGGTCATCTTGGAGGTTCTGAACAAATAACTACAGATTGTAAAAATTGCAAAAAAAAATAAAGAAATGGTGAAGGATGCGAGATTCGAACTCGCGCGGTGAACACACCAGCAGATAACTCGAATTGTTAAACAACTTAAGTCTGCCGCCTTAGACCAACTCGGCCAACCCTCCAATTTCATGTCAGGTGAAGTCCGCCCCATTAGAAAACTATGTTTATCTTTATTACTAACCTGATGTTTGTTGCAAATCACATCTGATTGTCTCTGATCGACAACTACACATGGTTTCACGTTCATTATATTATCTGGATCTTCTCCAATTATGTATATTCTTCATACAAAGTTCTATTTTACACTCTTGTCTATTGTGCATATCCTTCTAGCTCGCCTATCCTGTTTTCAAAAAGTCCATATGATGTGTGATTGCCCGACACACGTCCTTTCTCTTGCTGCTTCCCGTTTCTGGTACTCCAGTCATATCGATCATTGGCTCTTCACAATAACACCAAAGCAACTGTTTCATGATCTTCGACTCAAAGTCATATCCACCCAACTCTTTCTTTAGCTCACTACCATACATTCTTCTTCTATCTCCATGATTCGTAACTGGACCTCTGTTTTCAAAATAATTGTGCAAAAATAATCTTTCCAAATAATATTTGGGCCAGTTGGCATGCAAGAAGAATAAAGATGACGATCTGTGCAAATGAAAATCATAGTTTGAATAGGTATCGTCTTGGTCACTCTTGGCGTAATTTTCAGGCAATGTTGAATCATAATCAACACCTCCGTCACTCTTGGTTGACATGTAGTAATCTATGATTGGATCATACTGTCCCATGGCAAAGATCTCATGTTTCTTTGTATGGTCATTCACAGGACCAAACTCTCTAGGGAATTCCGTCACCTGGTAATAAGGTAAGTTCAACTTATGTGCTGCAGCAATAAATGTTTCTTTGTCACCTTCACCAGCAGCTCCTTGGCTTAGTAATGGGTAGAAAAAGTCTGGTCCATAAAAGTTGTAATACATTGATAACACCAAAGTCTTGAAATGGATACTTTTGTTGATTAATATTTGACCAGTTTCAGAACTTGCTTCAGGAATGGTTCCTTTACAATCATGGAACGAATAAAATACAGGGTCTGTCCTTTTACCTCTTGGATCACCTTGAATGTATGAATTTCTCATTTTAAAACCACTGTCTACGTCAATATCGGCAATTTTATAAAAATCTGGAGAAGTAGATCTTCTCCATAAATCTGGCCATAAAACAAGATGCTTATCAGTAAATGGTTTATTTGTGAAAAATGCATCTGGGTTCTTTATTGGGATATTATCTGCATCAAGATACAATATTCTTTTGAAAGAAGATATCAAAATGGCAATATTCTTCAATTGAAACCCTTTGATCTGATCAATGTAAGATTTTGGCAAATAATCAGTCATCAACTTACATCTACCATTTAATGTAGGTAATACTCTATCACAAAATTGTACATCATACTCTTTGGCGTACGGAACAATAACTTCTACTGGTAATCTAGATCCATTATCTCGAAGCATCTTGATGGATAAAAATGCCAACTGGTCGTATTTCCCACCTCCCAAATAAACTATACCATCTCCTTTCATGAATTTATTAAACTTATTAAATTTGAACAAGTCTTCTGGCCAATCTTGCATCATCTTCTTCAAAAACTTCTTGTGTGAGTTCTTTAATGATGTCACTTCTGCATCACTCAATGTCAAATACATGGACAATAATTCCTTATTTCTTATCAATTCATCGGTGTACTGTTCACGCAAGTGCCCACCATATAGTGGAATTTTACCTTTGCGAGTAAGTAATCTATCGACATTTATCTTTTTCATATCTTCATCCAGTAACTTATTTACCAATTGGTAGTACTTCACTAATTTGTCGGAATTGGGGTAATGCTGTTCATTGTTGATGGATCCTATGTCTGGTTTACAATCTTCAATAGTTTTAAACAAATCTGTGAAAAATTGTTTGAATGCTTCAACAAATTTATTCTCCATCCTGTATTGGTCGACAAAAGAGTTTGTCAATTGTAATTCTGTTTCTTCATTCAAGCTCTTGATCATTTTCTTGTAATTATACCCATTAATCAATTTCAAATCATAATTTGAATCTCTATCAAAATTAGAAGTTTGTAAAAAATTCCAGAAATGACCAACCCTATCGGAGGCCACAAACTTATCATTTAGATAATTTTTTTGCACAACAACTAGATTTGTATCGAGATCCTGGTGATAACCAACGAGTGAATACACTTCATTATCTTCGTCTGTCAATACAGATTGCTTCATAGTCAAAGCTTGTTTTATATCGGAAACTTTGTTCATGATATTTCTTGAAGAAAAGATGGCATCTGATGGAGATCGTTGTAGGGCCACGAAAATGTTTATGAACGTTAACAGCAATAAAGTTATGAGTGCATACCTGATCATCTTTGATGAAAGGGGAAAGGCTATCATGGTTGTGATGTATACCACGTGTGAAATAATAAAAAAAAAATGAACAAATGTAAGCAAAATGAAAAAAAAAAAAACAAGAAGAAAGGAAGAAGAAAACAACTCTTGACTCGTAGGTGATAAATATAAACTTTCGAAGATGAAAAAGTATATGAGAGAAAAGAAAAAAATTAATCCTGAAGAATAAATTAAAAATTTACTAAAAGAAAAATGAAAATTTATCATTGTGTGTAAATCAAGCAACGTTGGTTCATATTGTCACTAAAAATAAACAGCCATACAATTTTTAAAAAGGAGTAAATTTCTAATATTGCATTGTTAAATTGTTCTTGTACCTTATTGTTCTAAGTTTGTGATATGTATTTATCAACTAGCAATGTTTAATAGTTTTTCTATCCTGCCCACACTTTTTGGGAAAAGCAATGAACATCTTCGATACCTGTTCAGTTTCAAAAGTATCCATGCATTGATTGTTGTTGTTTTTCTTTTGGTTTCTGATTGTGTCATTTTTCCTCATCATTAAATCGGCAGTAGTAGTCTGTAAATGTTGAAGTGGTACATGAAGCCTTGTTCCCTGCAGAATTTCCTTTCTTAGATCAAAAGTCGTGCATATTGTGCTAATATCCTTATTACGTTTGAACACACGAAAACACGCACAAAACTAAAATAACCAACACTCGAAAACTGCATTGTTTTTTACTGATAACGATAAATCTAATACCGATGTCCTTATGTAATCTTTCACATATGTCCTTCTACGCAACTGGTGGGAGATACAACTGGCTTGTTAACTTTTTCAATGTTCACAGCATCTTTCGTAAAGCTAAACCCTATTGAAGAATTGATGGGGGAAGAATAAACAAAAAAATAAGAGCGAGCAACTCAAGGACAAGTTTTGTAGTTGTAAGTTGAGTAGTAGCATCTTTTCTGTTTTCTGAATTAATATTCTTAGTACAACATTTCTAGTTAAATCACGGAGTTGATGTTATGATGTTGATCTTTATAATTCAATTGTAAAACCAGGAATATCATGTTATATTGGAAATATGAAAATCAGTAGCTCGGTTGCTTTGCAATCCTTGTGTTTCCTTTTGCACAAACTCAAGTGGTGTTTCGGATTTTAGTATGTTGATTTACATGGAAAGTAACATGTTTAGTGACGAAATACTTTAAGTTTTTAATTTTGAAAAATTTGTAACATACAACAATAACTTCGTGATGTAGTTGTTTGAGTATAAATAACCACCAACCAATATTACAATATCTTGTTGTAAAAATTAGACGAAACTTAGATTTTGGTTGTCAAATGGTTCAAAAAAAAAGATATATATAAATTCATCAATGGTAGTAAAATCTGTGAGTAATTAAATATAGACCATTGTTTATTCTATTTGATTTTAAGTGTTACTACTTCACATCGATCATACTCAAACAAACCATCTAAACAACTGAATTAATTAATTGATGAAACATCCTTTTATCAAGATAACTCTGTGGGTTCACGATCACGTGTATTCCTATTTGGTACACACACGTCACGTCTTTTTTTTTTTTAGTAAAGTTTCTTATATTTGCCCCTCTTAACAAGCAAACAGTGTGAGCGAGCGAGAAAATGAAAGTGAAAGCACAACAAACAACCAAACCAAACCAAACAACAAAACAAAATTGTAAACTAAACAAAATAAAACCAAACCCATAGAAAAAAATAGAATCATTGATTTTCTTATCAGAATTTTTTTTTTTTTTTCTCTTTTCTTCCCCTTTTCCCTTTTCCCTTTTTCCCTTATTTATTTTAGACCAATCCTACCTTTTTTTTTTGTTTATCTATCTAAATCACAAGCAGTGATGTCAACTGATAATTTATTCGAAGACATAGAACAAGACAACAATCCATCTTTTTATGGTAATCCGTCAATATTAAGTGACCCATATCGTCCGACATCAACCACAGATCAGAAACATGATGGCAAGAGTAGTCAGCAACCACACAACAACGCACAACAGACACAACAATCACAAGCAAGTAATGGTGTTGCCTCAAATGGATTTCCTAATAATGAATTGGTAAACAGCACCATTGGGTTGTCTAACAAAATCCTAGAATTATTGAACGATTCTGATTTGCAAGTCGATATTGTCAACTCAGAAAAGTTAGTCAATTCTTCGGTTATAGTATACACAATAGAATTATCTTCCAAAGATACAAAAATTGTGGTTAAAAGACGATATAGTGAATTTAAATCATTAAGAGACAATTTGTTAAAATTATTCCCAACATTAATTATCCCTCCCATTCCTGAAAAACATTCAATTTTAAGTTACTTGTTAAACACAATCAATCATTCCCATGAGATCTCTATTATCGAAATGAGAAAGAGATACTTTAAAATGTTTTTAGAGGATTTGATATTTCAACTGGATGAGAAATTAAAGAATTGTCCCCTTTTGCACAAATTTTTTGATCCAAATTATGAATTGTGTTGGTATAATGCGTTGAATGAACCACCTGTTAATCTAATTCCAGATAATTTACTATTGGCTAATCCAATCAATCCTGCTGATCAGAATGGATTGTACTCTTTGTTACCAGTGGTTAATGGATTTGATTTCAATTCAAATATTGACAATTTATCTAGTTTGAAGAAGATTAATGATGATTTGTATAAACTAAACGATCAGGTAAAGTTGTATGAGTTGAAGGGATTTGAACAAGACTTAAAATTCTCCATTCCTGATGAACTCATCCAATTTGAAATCAAATTCCATCAAACGATCAAGAATATTTCTGATTTGAATAAATTGAATGTTAAAACAACAAAGAGTTACAGGAGCTTGGTTGATACATTGATTGATTTGGGTGGAAATTTAAACAACTTTTCGTTACAAGTTTATCAACAAAAATCTGGAAGCAATAACGAATTACTGGAAGCTATAGAGAAATTTGGGTCAACAATGGATCAATCTTTTCTTAATTTTGAAAGTTTTATTTTGAATCAGTTAATTCCTCAATGGCAAGAACCAGTCGATCAAATGATTTTGTATTTCCACGGTTCATTAAACTTAATAAAGTTCTACAAATATAAGGTCATACAGTTTAAAATTTTGTACAAGCTAAAGTTCAACAAGTTTCAACAATTGATAAATTTAACAAACATTGGGGGTACTTCTGTAGTCCCAAGAAGATCTGTTGATGCTGATGATTCTGAAGGCAGTATTAACGGTAATGATGCCAACAATCAAGATGATATGGATACAACAGCAAAAAGTTTTGATCATTTGAAAGAATTAAACAGTCCAACTATTAACAATGCATTAAAGAATTTGTCATCTAAGAAATTGGGTAAAAAATCATCTTGGTATGGATTATTTGGTGGAAACAATCAAACAAAGAAATTTAATTTCCAACTCCCAGTAGAAGATCCAAATACAGGTACAACTACTGCTTCTTCATCACAACAACAAAAACCACCACAAAGTCACCAACAGCACCATCAAGCATCAATTAAGTTTAAACTTAGCCATATAGAAAAAGAATTGAACAAACTAAATCAATTGATAGAATTATGCAATCAAGACATGCACAAATTGACAGAAGCTTTGGTTACTACATTTGAGGAATTTTTAGTTAAATTGGAAAAGAAGTGGTTACATTTAATGATCAACTACATCAAGAATTGTAAGAACTTGTTTGAGGCTAATTTGACTAATTGGCAAGAATTTAAAGAATCTTTAATTAATGAAACAAGAGAAGTGAACTAGAAGTTTGCAATTTATTTTATATGTGTATATGTAAATATATACAAGTTCTACACGGCACTATACTTACTGTAGTTAATTACTAATTAACGTTTGGAGTGCGCGATATTTCCTAATTAGGAAGTCTATTTTTGGTGGCAACTATCAAATCGAGTATGAAATATTATTAGAGAAAGAAAGAAAGAAAAAAAAATTGACAATCTGGAAAAATAGCCAAAACTCTAACTTCAATCAAAGAACAACTCCCAAAACAAAACAAAAAAGAATGTCAGCAATGGATATAGATACTGAAGTTTCAACAGTCTTGGCTACTATTAGACTGGAATCTGAAAATGCAGAATTGATCAATACTGTTTTTCAATTGGAAGATTTTTACGAACGTAAATTATGGCACCAATTAACTGAAGTTTTAGATCAAATATACTATCACTTTGATTCTACGATAATTACTCCAGACTTGAAAAATAAATTCTATAATTTGTTTATTAGACAATTTCAATCCAAGTTGAATCCAATTAAAGTGGTTGATTTTTTGTTGGAATCCTATGAAGATAATGAACAAACTTTGGACACTTTGTTGACATTAAAGACTGATTTTATAACTAATTTAAAGAAAGAACACAATTTTAAAGATGAAGAGGATCCAGAATTTAAAAAATTAGTTGATGAGGATGAGGCCATTATTTATGTTAAATTACAAATTGCTCGTTATTATTTACTTTTGAATAAATTGAATGATGCTGAAGATATTTTAACTGAATTATCATCTAAATTTGAAAATTTGAACAATAATTTGAATTCTAAAATTAATGCTGCTTATTATTTAACAAAGAGTGAACATTGCAAGATTTTAAGTAACTACAATGATTACTACACAAATGGATTGTTGTATTTATCATCAGTTAGTAATTTGAATGCAGAAGAAAAATCTAAATTATGTTATGAATTATGCATTGCTGCATTATTGGGTGATAAGATATACAATTATGGAGAATTGATTTCTCATGAACTTGTCAAGGATATTCATGAAAATGAAGTAGAGTTTAAATTGGTTAATTATTTGAATGAAGGTAATTTGCTAGAATTTAACAAATGGTTAGAAATTGCATTTAACAAATCACCATTTTTGAAAGAACATGAATTGTTTTTAAGACAAAAAATTATTATAATGGCATTATTAGAATTGATATCTACTAAGTCAACAACTAACAAGCAATTGACATTTAAAGAAATTAGTGAGTTTACTGGTACTCCATTGAATGATGTTGAGCATTTGATTATTAAATGTTTTTCATTGAATTTAATTCAAGGCTATATTAACCAATTACAAGAATTGTTGATTATTACTTGGTTACAACCAAGAATTTTGAACTTGAATCAAGTGAAAACTTTGTATAATCATTTGGTTGAATGGGATAATAAGGTTGAAGAATTAGGTAAAACAGTATATGAGAATGGTGGTACTGTTTGGGCTGGTATGTAAAACTAATGTATAAATTAAGAATACAAGTAGTCACTGTTGCTAGATGTAACGATAATGTAGAGATGATAATGTTCAATTGCTTGTTGACTTATAGATTGCATACCGATAACAGTCTCCTGTTGTCACTCGTCATTAAAAGTGAATATGCTTCTGATGCATTCTTTTTAGTAAAAATATGTTGCAAACTTCTAGTAAGAAAAAACGGAAATTGGTCATTTCTATAAAATATAGCATTATAGATATAAATCATCGTAGGACAATATAACAACATGCTATGATCCTCACTGAAATCTCTCCACAGAATACTAGGAAGTTTCATATTCATTAGCGACAATTCTAATGTTTACTCTCGCATACTAACTGGGTGTGAGTATGTGCCAATTTTCTTGACACAACAGATCAGTACAGTTGGTACAGTTGTCTGAAGATTGCCCTGCTGGCGAAATTGGTTATCGCTTTTGACTTCTAATCAAAGGATTCTGGGTTCGAGTCCCAGGTAGGGTTTCTTTTTTTTCTCACCAAACACAATCTACTTTTTTGTAGCCCAGCGTGACTACTGCGAGTTTATTTGCTTGGTGGAGGTGTCTCTTTTGAATTGTCAGTGTAGGTTCATCAAGAGTTCCAGTCACTGAATTCACAAACTTTTTAATTTGTGTGTTAAAACCATACTGCAAGTGTGGAGTTCCGAGGAGCTTCACTTATTCCAATAACAGCAGCTTTAGCTCATCTGGGAGAGCGTCAGACTGAAGATTCTTTAGTAATCTGGAGGTACTGTGTTCGAGCCACAGAAGCTGCATTTATTTTTTTGCCATAAATTGTCCCACACGTAATCGGATGACATAGTATTCCACTACATGTTTAGCAATGTATAACAGCATTTTCTTTTTTATTATTATTATTATTATTTCTAATTATTCCTACCCATATACTTAAATGTCCTTTTTTGGTTCACTTTTATCATAGATCAATTCCTTGTAGTTAGGGAAATGTGTGATCCACCAATAATGAGCCTGACTCCATGCATAAGCTGTTGCATTGACCTTTTCATTAGCATACCATGAAATGCATCCACCAAATGGGGTTCCAAATACTGATTTCTTCAATTCAGCTTGAATTGTATTGAACCATTTATCATACGCTTCATTTTTCACTCTGACCGACTTGGCTTTACCTTCTAAAACTGGCTTTGCTGTTTTGGCATAGTAATCAACACCATTTTCGATCGCCATCACTACTGATGAATGACCAGTGGCTGAGTTTGGTCCAGTAATCATCCACAAATTTGGGCATTCTTTGACTTGTAATGTTCTATAAGCACTTGGACCTTCTTCTTTCCAGATCTTACTAGCATCAATACCATTACGGCCAATGATTTCATAATTGAAATAACTCTTTACCACATCGTATCCAGTACATGCAACAATGATATCTGCTTTTATCAATTCCCCGTTTTTCAATAAAATACCATTTTCAACAACTTTATCAATTGGTGTGTTCTTGACATCAATTCTCGGATCATTCAATGAAGGAATATAGTCATAATCAAAAATCAATCTCTTACACCCAATCTTATAGTCTGGAATAATCATATCATGAAACTTCTTTGGAGCATTCTTTCTCATGTAATGAACCGCCGCTCTAGTATTTATCCAACGAACAAATCTTGCAAGTATACCTTCACCTTTAAACAATGGAATTCTAGTTTCAGCAGCAATAACAACAATCCAACGAACCAACAATATACCATAATAATTAAATGATAACAAATTGTACAACCAATGAAGAATTTTTGGAATAGGATGCATAACATAATGTTTGGATCTAATTAATTGAGTTAATGATCCTACACTGTAATCAGGGTTATTTAACAAACTAGGTACAATTTGATTAGCACTACATCCATTACCAATAACAATAACATCTTTACCTTTGAAATCAATACTATGATCCCAAAGTGCAGAATGCATGTATTCACCTTTAAAATTATCCAATCCTTCAACATCAAATTGATTAGGATGAACCAATCCACCTTGACAAGTAACTAAAATTTGACTTTTATGAATAATTTTTTGACCAGTTTTAACATTATGAGCAGTAATGGTCCAAACACCTTCTTCATCGTTCCATTCACATTTGTTAATCTCTGTTTCAAACACAGCTTTTTCTCTCAATTTGAATTGATCAACGACTCTTAAAATATATTCCTCCATTTCATATTGTGGCGGTTGAACTTTACTCCAGTTTGAAACCAATACTTCAGAAAGACTATAAAATACAGCTGGAATATCAGATGCACAACCAACATAAGTATTGGCATACCATGTACCTCCAAAATTATCATGTCTTTCAAAAATGACAAAATCTTCTTCATTTAAGTATTTTAAATTTTTGATTGCGGTTGCAATTCCACTGAAACCAGCACCAATAATGGCAACTTTTGATGAAGTTTCAATAGTTGGTAATGTTTCATTATATGTATATCTTTCTTTACGATGTGGACCCAAGATATCTGAACAATCCTGATACTTGATTCTAAATTTTTCTGGATGTTTATGTGATTCTTTAGTTAAAGTAATAGACGACATGTGGATAGGGAGGACTAAAAAAATATCAGTCAGTACTACTTGTGATAACAAATTAAGGAAATTTAAAAATCAAAAGAAAAAGTTGACAAATTTAATGAAACTATTTTCGAAAGGAAAATAGAAGTTTCTTATATAGGAACAAAAGGGGAATGTGGGTCTCCCCCATTTGAATTGTTCTTGGTGAAAGTTTTGTTGATCATATGCATTCCTTCCCCTGTTTCTCACATGCCCTGTTCAAGTGGGGTAGTAACAATATCGGAGATATTTTTTTTTTTTGTTGAGAGAGTAAAACTGAACATAACATATGATTGGGATCATATAATACAACGACCAAAGTCTATATTGTATAGTAGATTATTGGCTACAATGGACTGTTTAGCCTGGGGTGTTGTGTGTGGGCTATTTGGTTCTACAAGTTAACTTTAATTGTGAGGTGGGTTACCCTCTTGCATTACATATAAGTTTATTAATTCAGATGTACTATGGCATGATTTGCAAGGACAAGGACACAGATGACATATAAATCGTACGACAAATAGTTTATGAGAATAAAAATTTACTAAAACAGTTAAAAAAAAAACTCAAAGTGGTAGTAATATTCAGCGCCTGTCAAAAAGTTACTGAGACATTATGGAACTAAATGATGATGACAGCAATCACTCAAACTACAACTATATTAGTAACTGAGATTTGTCAAACTAACAAGTGATTTCCTTTATAGTGTAGTGGCTATCACGGTTCGCTTTCAAATCCTCTGGGTTTAAAGTTCCGAGCAGACCGGGGTTCGATTCCCCGTAAGGGAGTCCTTTCTTTTTTTGGAATTTTTTTTAGTTTGTTGATCATGTATCTTTTTGTTAGAGTCCCTGGTGAAATTTAAAACAAAAAATAAGAATACTTAATGAGAATATAGTTATTTTTGAGGGGCTTCAGCACTGCACGAGTGCATTAATGTAAAGCATAGATAAAAGAAAGAGAAGCGAACCATAGGCAAGCATCCTAGCCTGGCTCTTAAGATGAAGTTAACAACTAAGCCCATTCGACCGACCCCTATACCAGGTAGAGCCGCCTGAAGGAAATTTAATTCGAGGCCGCGTAATTGTTGCCGACACGTCGTCTGCTGCACCACTGACCCCTGCAGGACTTGTGTTCTATGTCACATTTTCTGACCAAGTAAGAAGCTGATTTCTCATCGGCTGGCACTGGTCAAGAAAACA